GTAAAAAGACGATTAATAGCTCGTTGGAATCGCCTCATCAAGACGAATCGAATGGTGGTAAGCTCATCTCTCTGTGATCAATATTGACGGAGTTACTACTTAAAAACCATTTAATATTTTTTAATTTCGGAAATTAATCTAGGGATTGAATTTCGATGTATTTTATACCATTAGAACCGTCTCATCAAGACGAATCGAATGGCGGTAAGATCGTCTCTCTAGGATCAATATTGGCAGAGTTACGATACAATAAAGTTTTGAGTATAATTTTGGCTAAAATTATGTTAATTTTTGGCCGGAATTATGATATACTAATATAAGAAATTTTTTATATAGTCACATCTCTTTATAATCACCAAATATGGACTGTCCCAAATGTGTGACTATAAAGAGAGTTGACTGTACTTCTATTTGAAGCTGATGATTTGACATTTTATAAATGTTGTGCGTCAAGTGTCGATTTGCGTCAGATGTAGCTGACATACGTCAGATGTAAATTGATACTTGACGTATGTCATTTGAATCACACAATAAAGTTCTCCTATAGTAAAAAATTTTTTTTACTAATAAAATTATTTTTTATTCTGTAAGTAAATTTGTTTGTTACAATAAATTACACATATTGTGAAAATTTTTGGCTATTTAATCTATGTTTAATTAAATATTGTAAATTTACTTGAAAAAACTTGTAATTTATTAATATTTTGAATGAAGTATTTTCCATGAAACTAAGTCTAATCAATTTAATATTACAGGGTTACATATTTTTTAACAAGATTAATAAACTTATTTAATAAAGAAATTTAGTTTAAGTTTGAAAATTTTAATTTAATTATAACTTAATTTTGCATATTTTATATCACAAGTGACGCGCGTCAGGTATCAATCTACGTCTGATGCACGTCGGCTGCATCTGACGCAAATCGACACTTGACACACAACATAAATAAGCCATTTTTTTTATGAATTAAGATTAATGTAAGTATAAAAATTATAGAATAAGTGTATTTCGGCCTGCTTTACAAGTTTATTTAATGAAAGAAAGCTGATTTTAAACACTGTTTTAGACTTTACATATGAATGAATAATCTTTGTTGATTATATTTAAAAATGATGATAAAAATAAAAAATTCAAATAAGTCAAAAACGGTGTTTAAAACCCAATGTTGCACACTAAGTAAACTTGCACAGCAGGCTAAAATACACATACTATGTGCAAATTGGCACTTCAAACATTTAGTTATATTAACTTTTTACGTATCTTTTATTATAATAAATTGATAATAAATGCAAACAACTAAATAAACCTATGATAAACTATAAATTATTTAATATTATACCAATCTCTTAACTTGAAAGTTTTATATATTGGTGAATAAGTTTTATTTATAAAAAATAAATTTTTACATCACGTGATTGAACCCGGCTTTAGACGACCCTCTATTTGTCACATAGTTAATATGAAAATCACGTGATAGAACACGGCTTTAGATGACCCCTTAAATCCTAAATCGGAAGTTCTTAATTAAACAAATACCTTATTTAGAATTCTTTATACTTATATAGTTTAAATATTGAAATTTACTATTACGTCAAATAAATACAAAAAGTTTTTACAGAAATTTTCTCACAGGTTTTTACTTTTTTTCTTTTATAATATATCATAGACACAGATACATAATATAATTTATCATGGCGCTAGGGAAAACTTATCTGATTATTCCAATCTTATTTGGAATAGGTTTGATTATATATCAAAAAAAAAATGTGAAAGAATTTTTGCCAGATTTTTATGATCCAAAAGAAAGTTTTTTTGGAATACCAGGAATCGATAATATATTTGCCCTTCAAATTTCTTTTTTCAGGTATATAAAATATATATATTATTTATCATTAAAAATGAAATGAATGCTAATGCAACCTTTATATATATCATTTTATAATCATTATTAGACAGTATTTAAATGATCCAACAAGCGTACTTTTAAATCACACATTATTTCCCCTAGCCATGGTTAATATGTTTATCATCGCTGTGGAAGGTTCAGTTCCTGGTGTTAATGGATTGGTTACATATTATTCTTTAGTAGCTGCTATTTCTGTGTTCGTTGCTATCTCTATAGCAGTTCCATTAATCTGGTAAGGTTTTTTTTTGTTATTATTAACGAAATTATAAGTAATTTTGAAATTAACCTAATTCTACAGGATTCCTGCTTGGATTATATCGGAAAATCGTAAAGGATATTCTTCAAATCCGGATGACGTTACATTAAACCCTAAAAGGGTTAAACGAATATGTTTAGGAATACTTTTAACACTACCATTCCTTATTGGTATGAGTATCTTTAAACAAGATAAATTGATTGTTTGGACCGTTATTTCATTTGTGGTAATATATGATTTATAAATTTTTAATCATTTATGAAAATAATTAAACTAAAAGATTATTCCTTTTATTCATCGGAAATAAATATAGTTTTCATTTCTTTTTGCAGCCTTATTCTGGGTCTGGTATCCAAAAGGTGTTAATCCTGACAGCGTAAATCAAAATGCATATGAATTGGCTAGTAAATTTGCTCTAATACTTTTTGGAATTTCATTTTATGAATGGTTCTTAGTCTTGGAACATTGTAAGCATGAAATAACTTTTTTTTCAAAAAAAAAAAAAAAAAAAAATTATATTTTCTTTATATTTAAAATAAATAATTTTAATAATATATATATATATTACTATTAAAAAAAAAAAAAAAAATTACACGTATTAATTAATTTCTTTCTTCTCTTTCTTTTCCAATCAATGTTGCATTAGCAATTGATAATAATTTTGAAGTATTAATCGGGACAATTACACAAATAATTTCTGGTATAACATATTCCGCGACGGATTTTATGATTGTAGACACCTGGGGTTTAATCGCTGCTTCAGCTTATTGGATATTCGTGGCCGAAAATGGCAAATTTAACAGAAAATTTTGGAAATTTATTGGTCAAAGTATTTTATGTGGTCCAGGTGGAGCTTTAGCATTATATGTTTATCATAGATATGATGGAATGATTAATAAGGATGTTAAGAAAAATACAAATAATCAACCATCATCAAGTAGATTAATGTATACGAATGATGAAAGGCGACCTTTATTAAAATAATTTTTTCTTATGTATTTTTAGCATTACTATAATTATAAATGTATATTTAATTATTACTAAATTGAAAATATGACGCGTGGTAACATCAAAAAAATCCAATAATTCTGAAGATTACGTTATTTATGGTAATTCCACATATATGTAAAATCATACCATGATGATGTAAATAAACGAATCCATATGGTCAATTTTATCAATTTTAATATCAGTTGCTTTTGTTAGAATTCAAAAAAATAGTTTTTAAATAGAAATGAGTATCTAACATCATTATGCTTGCTTATTATGAAAAATATTTTCGAAATGTAAAGCGAGATTTTAGATTTTCGTGAATGAAATCCCTTTAATTCACTTTAAATGTTTTCGCAAATATTCATTATCGTTATGGACCTCAAGATTCGTCCAGAAGTGTTGGCACAAGCTACTCAAACGGATTGCTTACTGTTAAAACCAAAAAGAAAAGTAATTTAAAAAAAAAAAATTCGATTTACTTATATAAGAAAGAATTTTTCAATATTACAAAATTACAATGAAAAATTTTTATTATAGATTCATCTAAATACTTTCAAAAGTTCAATGAACCAATAATAGAAAATACAATAAAAAAAAAAAAAAAATTTAACAATCTTAATACCAATAATTCTTAAACTTAATGAAACCAATAAAGAACTAAATATTAAATAAACAAAGTAGTTAAATAATTAAGTAATAAAGGAGTTTTTGTAATAATAGTAAAGTCCATTTTTTTTTTTTTTAGGTATTATGAGAAAAAATTCTAAAATAACAAATTATCTCACAAACCTCTAAAATTAAAAAATTAAAATTCAAAATAAAACACCCATTTCCAAAATTAATTTAATTAGTTTATAATAACCCACAATCTCGTAAATTAGTGTGAATAATAATATCATTAACAGCAGCCATAACAAATTTAATTTGATCTGTATCAGTAGCACATGTAAAATGTGTATAGACTTGTTTAACCTCACTTTGATTCAATGATACAAATCTATTATGTATATATTCACATGCTAAATCATAATCACCACCTCCTTCAAAATCTGGAAAGTATTTATTCATAGGAGAGATTGGAAGTTTTTCTCTGAATCTATCAATTTTATTCAGGAAAAGTATGATTGATGTTTTAACAAACCATCTTGAATTACAAATAGAATCAAATAAAGTTAAGGCTTCTTGCATACGATTCTATACAAGTTAAATAAAAAGGAAGAAAACTTTTATTAATAAATAATTGATGATAATAAAAAGTTAATAATAATATATAATAATACATACCACAGTTTCATCTTCCAATAACAATTGATCATACTCGGAGATAGCCACTAAAAATACGATAGCCGTAACATTCTCAAAACAATGAATCCATTTCTTACGTTCGCTTCGTTGACCACCCACATCAAACATACGATATGTGAGTTCACCAATTAAGAAGGTTGTCTCTGTAATACCTGTCGTTTTTACACGAGAACGTAATACATCTTGATCTGAGGGAAGGTAATCTGGGTGTGAAATATTATCAATCGAGTCAAAATAACTAAAAAAAAAGAAATAAAAAAGTGAATTAATTTAATATCCAATTATGAGAGTAAACTTTTAAACATAAGTTTTGACCAATACTTACTATTTTGCAGAATCATTTAATTGATATTCTCTAGATCTACTAAAACATTCTAATACACTTTTATCAGCCCATAAATTTTTAATAGCTAAAGCAACTTCAGAAGGTAATTGATCCCCTTCAATTTGATTAGGTAAATTCATTATAGTAGTAACATGTCTTTTATTTCCTTCATTTCTTAATTGTATTCCCATATTATCCATAGCTTCCAAAATAACACGCATTGACTGAACAGTATTTGAGAAAATGATCTCCTTAAAAGATTCACGTTCTTCTGGAGAATAACCACCATCATGAATAAGTTTCATTTGTTTAAGAATTGTTGACTTGCCCGATTCACCAGCACCTATTGATAAGATTTAATGATATAAATGATTATTAATATATTGATATCATAAATAACATAAATATAATATTTAAAACTAATATCTACCTAGCAAGAGCATTTTGACTTCGTTACGCATTGAGAGCCTGTCTCGTTTGAGTTGGTTTTCAATCTCATCGTTTCGTTGTCTTCCTGCTTTTTCTTCTTGACTCATACAACAACCCATTTTTTATTATGCTTTTTTTCTGTACAAAGAAGGATAAAATTAATAATAAACGGCCCGCAGGGCTAGTTTTTTTTTTTTAGAGTACGAGTTTATAAAAGGTAAGTAGAAGAAATATTTATAAACGGTAAGTAAGGTATTTGTCTCTTATACACATCTAGATGTGTATAAGAGACAGATATGAAATAAAGCCGGAAATTTTCAAAAGTTTGATTACACAAGTTTCCGAAGAGGGGATCAACTATAGAAAATGACTAGATAAAGTCATGAACCGAACAAAAAAAAAAAATCTGAAACTCTTGAAAATCCTTATCCTTGATTTTCCATTAGGCGTTTTTATAAATAAATTTTATTGTAATCTATATATGTTTAAAGATATCACACATTTGAAGTTTAAAAGTATTGTTGGATTAGTTTCAAGTCTGCGGAGTAACCAAAAAATATCAAGGGAAGTAATATTTTGTGTTAAATTAACTTATACAACGATTATAACACGTGAATTATCTTCTTTATACTTTATTATATGGTACAATATTTTTTTTTTTTAACGCGGATATTTAAAGCAGACATCCGAAAAGTACGAAATGTAGTGAAGCTCGTGGAATTTAAACATTAATTGTGTAACTTTTAGATGAGAAAATTTACGTAGAGGAGAAAAACAAGTTAGATTACAAGTAATTAATAAATTACGTAATAATGTATACATTAAAATTTATGATGATTCTTAAATTCTAAAATTTCAAAATAATGAAAATGACGACAAATTATTCTTAAAATAGAAATTTTCAAGTACATTGGGAATGGGTAATAAGTTGATCTTTGGAATACTGTAATAATAATAATTAATAGTATCACATTATTTTACAAAGTAAATTGTCAACAAGGAAAAAGACCCTTTTTGAATAATATTGATGCATGAAATTTAAATTTTGTTACAATTTGAATAATTTGATTTTTTTTTAAATATTTTAAACATTTAAAGATATTTAAAGATACAACGAAAAAACTTCGGAAAACGAATTAGGATACAATGAATTCTTCCTAATTTCTTTTTTTAAATAATATAACAAAGACTTCAAAGTTAACTATTGTTTATTATAGTAACACAATAAAGTTCTTTAAATATGGTTAATAAAGATATAATTGTTAAGATATCATACGATTAATACGATTATTAATGATGATGATAGATTAAAAAAAACAAAAAAAAAAAAATTTTTTTTTGAAATTTTCTTACAAAAAAAATTATGAACGAATAATAATTTTACAATACGGAAAAACATTATAAATTTTTGTAACAAACAAATTGAATATCAAAAAAAAAAAAAAATTTCGTTTATCTTCACCAAAATTTTATTTCAAAAAATTATTAAATCTAATCAATATTTTCAATATTTTAAAATTTTTAAATTTTAGGATACATGCGATGTAGATGAAACCTATGAATACGATGTTATTCTGAAACTGGTTTTATCATTATTATTTCTTTAGTTTCATATTATGTAATATCATTGTTAATGAATTTTATTTGTAATAATAAATATTATATTGTTTTTTTATTGTTTTTTAAAACGAAACTTTAAAATCTTTAAACTTTTTAAAGATTATTCTAACTAAATATATATATATATATTTTTTTTCGTCTCAAAAATTAAAAAAGTTCCCGCATCATCTTGTTTCAATTGCGAGAATTTTTAATCATTTTGACACTTTTAATTTTTGAATTGATTCCATAAAAGTTTTTGTATTTTTTTTTTAGTAATTATTAATGAATGTTTCGTTGTTTCTATTGTTTAATTTGAGAAAATGTCGTCCCGAAATTTTTTACTTGTCCTTTTTTACTATTTTGTGTAACAAATATAAGTAAAGCTCCCACATTTAATTTAAAATCTTTTCCTAACTTAGAAATGTGTCCAATAAAGTAAGTTACACGATAAAAAAAACAATTACCTACCTTTTTTATATAAGTATAAAAAATTTTTTTGCATTTTTTGCATTTTTTGCTCAATCGTAAAAACTCTAAATTCCGATTTATTATTTCTTATTTTACATATCAAGAATTTAACTTTTTGGATTCTTGTTATCCCTACGTGTAAAAAATAAATCTTGTTTCACCTTTTAAGTAATCGATAAAAAGTGTTATAATCATGTGATCTATATGTCAGTTTCCCGTACCCCATGCCGATCATAGTTATGATCAGATTGCTATGTGAGAAGGGTCATATATGGATCATTTGCATTAGCATTGTTTCATTGTGATTAAAACTGCGGTACCATGTGAATTGATCATGATAACGATTGATTTTTACATATATTATTTATTGAAAAAAAGGTTTTTTTTTTTTCTCCTTTTCTTTCTCAAATTTTTCATTTACTTTATTTTATCATTTATTATGGAAAGAGAAGAAGAAAAGGAGATAGATGATGCGCCAATTAAAAATGAAGAGGTAAAGATTTTTTAAATTTCTTTTTTTTTATTATTATTATAAAATTAAATCTTTTATATTTTATTTTTAAGGTTAAAGATCCAAAGAGAACTTTTAATGAAGACCAAGTAAAAGGAATTATTAAAGAAGTTGTAGAACAAAATATTTTACAAGGTTCTGCTTATCTTCATAGTCGTATATCAAATTGGAATAATTCGATAGTTCATTCAGTTGTTGAAAAATTATCAGCTTTAAATAAAGCTTTTAAATACATTGGTAAAAACTAAAGCTTCTTTTCTTTTTAAAAGAAGTTTTGATTTGATTGTTTAATTTATTTATTTGTTTATTTAGTTACCTGTACAATTTTTGAAAAAAATGGTGCAGGAATACATGCTACTACAACTTGTTACTGGGACAATAATCATGATGGTAAAATTAAAAATTTATTTATTATTTTTTTTTTTATAAAATAAATAAAATTATTAACTAATGATTTATGGTTTTTTTCTTTAGGAAGTACTACTTACAGACATGATACCAATAGTATGTACGTTATTGTTAATGTTTGGGGATTATGTGTAGGATAAATTTTAGATGAAATATTTGTCATTGTGATAATCACAAAATGAATTCAATAATTTGTACTAGTATTGTCATATTTCAAATATTTAAAATTTATAGTGACCTTTAATTATCCCGCAGCGAATATATTAAAAAATTTGTCATAGAATTTTTTTTTTTTTTTTTATTATTATTTATTATGTATTTATAAACTCCTTTTATTTCTGAAATATAAATATTTGTTATTTACAATAAAATTTTTATCATCATTTATAATTTATAAATTATAATATGATATTATATAATATGTATATTTTCTAATCATTTTGTCTTATTTTATAAAATTTAATCCTTCTTCTTCTTTTGGATAAATATTATTTTGTTTTAAATATTCATCGTTCCTTTAATTAATAATAATTTTAAAAAGTTCATAAAAATGTTAAATTATATTGAAATTTTCTTAAAAACTTTTAATAAGTAAACTTACCAAAATTTTGTCAGATGCTAATAATATTATACATTTTTTTCTTTAATAAATTATATAACAAAAAAAAAAATTGAAATAAAATACGATAAAAAATATTTACCCTCTGTCCAGAATCACATAATATAGTCACAATACGATGTCCAGGTCCTAATTTTCTAGCAACTCTCACACATCCAACACAATTGATAGCTGATGAACTACCAATGAATAATCCTACAGTATAAACAATTCCCTTTTTATTATTATATAACAAACATCCTAACCCATCCTAACCCATCCTAACCAAAATAACCCTAATATTACCTACCTTCTTCTTTAGCTAAGTATCTTGCCATAGCTATAGCTTCTTCATCTGTAACACGAATCGCGTCATCAATCATTCCAGTTGACATGTTAAAATTTTCTGTCATACGATTTATACCAACACCTTCTACAATTGTATCGACTTGATGTCTCGTTCTGGTTCCTTCAGCTTCATAAGGCGAATACATTACATTATGTTTCACTTTATTATATAATCCTGAACCAGGAGGATCAACAAGAATCACTTTTAGACTAGGTATAAGTGGTTTAAGAAAACGAGAAATTCCTGCAATTGTTCCTCCAGTACCTATAAAAATAACAAATTTAAAATAAAGACTCATTTAACGGAATAAATATAAAACTCAAAATGTTTCTTACCAGCTCCAGTCACTAAGGCATCAATTTTTCCATTTGTTTGTCTGTATATTTCCGGACCTGTTCCTTGATAATGTGCTAAATAATTAGCTAAATTTTCAAATTGATCAGTAAAAAATCCAGTAGCTTCATTATTTTCAATTGAATTTTCTCTCTCGTAATTATCATCTCCACCTATAAGCTTTTTCTTATTATTTTCTTTATTTTTTCCAAAATCCTCAGCTCTACGTTTAGCTAAATTAACAAATTGATTTTTATCTACAATACTTGCAGGTTTAACTTTTTCTACTGTGGCTCCTAATTTTTCTAATAATTGATATTTCTCTTTTGCTTGATCATCTGGCATAATAATCCATGCATTATATCCTTTTGCTTTTGCAATCATTGCAATTGATATTCCTGTCGATCCTGAAGTTCCTTCAAATATAGTACATCCTATATTTGGTTGTATAAGTTTTTTATTTTCTGCCTCATTTATCATATATAAAGCAGCTCGATCTTTTGGACTACCACCTGGATTAAGAAACTTGTCAAATTGTGAAATTTATATATTATAATCTTGATTCTTAAACAATTCAATTAAATTACTTACTTCAGCTTTACCCTAAAGTAATATAATATGGATTAATTATAAATCATCATTAAAAATTAATTAATATGAGAATTCGAATTAAAAAAAAATATTTACCAAAATTTCACATCCAGTAGCATCACTTAAACTTTTAATTCTCATTAATGGAGTATTTCCTATTAATCCTTCTATACCGTCAGCAATATCTTCACTTCTGATATCACTAGGTTGTTTAAGTGATCGCGTGGTTTTATCATCTTGATTCTTTCTTTTCCACCAATTTACAAACGAATTAGTAGATAGCGTAAGTATTACCCCAAATAATAAACCGTAAATAAGGTGTTGAGAAGTATTATTTGTTATCATTTCTAAGAAAAAAATTTAACCCGCAGATGACATTGATGAATAGTCGAATTTAAGATTTTTTTTCGCAGGGTGTGAAACATAAATGTACGTGTGAAAAACTTTAGTCCTTTCAGTCCTTTCCTAATATGGTGTGTATATTTGTCGATATTATTTGTCTCACACCCCCATAATACATGAAAGGTGTAATACCAGTGTAATACCACACGCCGTATTACTGCGTCTCACGACGGTGATAACCGGAGTTTTGCACTATTTTTGTTAGAAAATCTCCATTTTACACGAAATATATAAAAAAAAAAGTTATTAAAGGCGTGTCCTAAAAAATTTAATCAAACATAATTTTTCTTGTTATCTACTCTTTTTTAACGTATAAAAAATGGAAAAGAATGGAGGTAAGATATTATATTAAATTTTATAAACTGTTTTAAGAACAATTTAGAAAAAATTTTTCTGACTTTAATCTGTAAAGTCAAAATTTTTTCTTTTTTTTGAGCTTGCGTGTCTCGACTCATTTAATTTGATTTCTAAATTAAAAACTAGTAACACCAAGTGGATTAACAGTTTATCTTACGTGATGTTTATTTATTGTCCGTGATTAACCTTTCTACTTCGTTATAACAGATATTGATGTTAGTAGTCTTACAGATCAAATAGAAACTTTAGGAACCCAAGAACGTATGTATAATTTTATCATGGTTTATTGAAATGATTGTAAATATATCTTCGATCCTTTAACTTATTACTATTCTATTAATTTAGCAAAGCATAATTCATTACAAGAATCATCCCATGATGTTATTATTCAAGCAGTTGATGATGATCCTATACTTTCTATAACAACTTTCGAAGAATTAAAAGTGTAAGTAATATATACATACCTTTTATATGAATGATTTTATTATTCATAACGAAAAATGATTTGATTAATTTTTATGAAACTATTTAGACATGAAAATCTATTGAAGGGTATCTATGAAATGGGTTTTACGCGACCATCAAAAATTCAAGCAAAAGCTTTACCATTGCTTCTTAAGACTCCGTAAGTTATCCTTTTTTTCGAAAATAAAAATAATTTTTTATGAAACGCCATTTTATTTAAATTAAATATTTATTATTATTATAGTCCACAAAACATGATTGGGCAATCTCAGTCCGGTACCGGTAAAACTGCAGCATTCGTACTGACAATGTTAAGTCGAATAGATTTTAATTTGCAATCACCACAGGTATAAAAAAAAAATGGAATCAATTTCTCAAAAATATCAATAGATTAATTTGATCTAAAAAAAAAAATCGGCGATCATTTTATTTTAGGCACTTTGTCTAGCACCATCGAGAGAATTAGCTCGTCAAATAATGGTGGAAGTCAGAAAAATGGGAAAACATACACCAGTAGTAACTGCAGAGGCTATTAGAGAATCTGATATTAAAAGTACAGTTGGAAAAACTAGAAATGAAGAATTTGCTAGCGCCCAATTGATTGTCGGTACACCTGGTACCGTTTATGATTTACTCAAGAGACGTATTATCAATAAAACCCATATGAAGATCTTTGTATTAGATGAAGCTGACAATATGTTAGATCAACAAGGTTTAGGCGATCAAAGTATAAGGATAAAAAAGTAAGATTTTTAATTATTGATAATGTTAAATATCGAAATTATTTATTTCATTTTATTCTAACAAATTATTCTATTAGTATGATGCCCAAAGATTGTCAAATCGTACTCTTCTCAGCTACTTATTCAACTCAAGTCCGAACTTTTGCCGGAAGATTTGCACCAAATGCAAATCAATTCTCCTTAAAAGTCGAAGAATTATCGGTAAAAACGATTAATCAATTTTACATGGATTGCAAAGATGAAAATCACAAATTTGAAGTTTTGGATGATTTGTATACCTTGCTTACAATTGGACAAAGTATCATTTTCGTGCAGGTATGTCTTCAAATGGTTAATTAATTTGCATAATTGAATAAATCAAAATGTCATTAATAATAATTTTTTAATATCAAAAAGAAACGTGACACTGCGGATACGATTGCAAGACGTATGACTGAGAAAGGACATAAAGTTATTAATCTTCACGGTGGTCTTTCAACGACTGAACGTGATGAAGTAATGGATGGTTTTCGTAGGGGGGATGCTAAAGTGTTAATTACCACCAATGTATTGGCACGTGGTATTGACGTTTTACAAGTAAATCTAGTAATCAATTACGACTTACCATTAGATAATTCTAGTAGGCGCCCTGATTATGAAACCTATCTTCATCGAATTGGACGTACTGGACGATTTGGTCGTACAGGAGTATCTATCAATTTTGTTCACGATGCAAATAGTTGGGAAATTGTGAAAGCTATTGAAAATCATTTCAATAGAGAAATTGTTAAAGTACCAACGGATAATTGGGATACTATTGAGTCAATTCTTAAGAAAGAAATTAGTAAATTAAATTCATAATGAATTACTTATAATAATTTTTTTGACAATTTTTTTTTTTACGAATAATTAATATATTATTATTAGATAGTAAACTTATCATTTTATTTCATTTATTATAAAATCATATAAAAAGCAAATTTAGTAAATTTAGTAATATTATTATTTATTAAAAATTTTTATATTACATAATTACGGCGAAAAGAAAAAAGAATAATTAAAATGTTGATTCGCTAAATAAATTTAATTCACGATTCATGAGAAAATTATTTTTTAAAAAATAAAGCTATTTGAAGCGTTGGGATAAAATAAAGTATGTTAATTACTAATAATTTGCGCCGATCGCCGATCATACGAGAATATTAAATTATATAAAAATTTATTACGTAAATATTATAAGAACATATTAATTAATATTGAATGATCATTTTATCGAAGAAGTGAACCATCATAATTTGCATTTATTCATTTACTATAGAACAGGAAAAAAATTGATTTTTCGATGCAAGTTTATGATGACGAGAAAATGATGTTTTAATTTCATAATTATGACCAAACTAAATTATTAGTTCATAATGCCATAATTATTTATCGTAAATCATCATTGGTACTAACCACAAAAATGTTTACAGTATTATTAACGATAAAATTGTAAAAGGTTATAAAAGAAGGAAAATATTATGAAAAAAAAAAATAATAACTTATAACCACTTTTTAACCAAAAAAAAAAAAATGATTCAATCTCGTGTGTTGTTTAATAGACTCTCGGCGCAGTCAATTTCACCTCAATTTTACGTTAATCGTAAAATAAATATAATCAATTCTTCATTTCTTTCTAAAAGATCGTTAAGAACAACACGTTATCTTAATTTACAATCTAATTATGAATCTACTAAAGAAAAAGGTAAAGAAACCTTAGGTACGACGCAAGAGAAAACTAAACAAAATGCCAATGAAACATATAACACTGCTAAAGATACATTACAAGATGTAGCTAAAAATTCTCGAAAAGAAGGACAAGAAGCTATCCAGAGTATCAAGAGTAGCGCGCAGAGTACAAAAGAGGAAGGACGAGAAACCATGCAGAGTGCGAAAGAGAAAGGACAAGAAACCATGCAGGATACAAAAGAGAAAGGGCAAGAGACTTTAAAAAGTACTCAAAATATTTTGAAAAGCGGTATAGAAAAAGCAGGTGAAGCTATGAAAAGCTCTCAAGAGAAGGGGAAAGAATTAAAAGAATCTGGTCAAGAAATTTTAGGTATATTAAAAGAACAAGGTCAAGATGTATTGAAGAAAGCTCAAGATTCCTTAAAGAAAGCACAAGCTAGTGGAAACGAAACTATTAAAAATTTACAAGGGAAAGGACAAGATACTAAGAAAAATGAAGGAGATTCTCCTAGAATTTAGTTTTCACATTAGTTATTCGGCGTACTTTTAATTATAGTTGATAAAACATTTTAACTATCTAGAAATATAAATTTTTTTATAAGAAATAAATTTTAATTAATTAACTATAATGACTTGAGCTTGTATATTTAATGTTTTGTTTAAAATAATGTTATCCGATAAAATAAGTCATGAAGATTATATTATATATATTATATATTTTTGACCAAACTGCATAAAAGAATAGAAATACTAATTAAACTAGCGAGTGAACTTAAAAAGGCACTTGTTTACGATATCAAGTATTAGATATTTATATTTGAATATGCCTCGATTTGGCGACGTCAATTAATTTCATTTCAATATTAATTATGCACGTATCTCCCAACGTTTTTTTAAAAATCTTTTCTTTATTCAAAATACCATTAGTTACATTACTTGTTCCAATATTAATGATATTACCTCTCATTACAATTTTACGAAGATTTTACTATCCCTCAATGTTTATACCAAAAATTAAAAACTGATCTTACTTTTTTTCAGAGAGCTTTATTAAGAAATTAAATTTTACGCGTGCATAAAATATTTCTATATTAGCATCCTATCCATTCAGCAGACGGTATCCAGAGAGCAAACTCATTTTTTTATAAAAATTTAAAATCATATATATTTTAAATAGCTTAGATTCTGAATTTTATATTAGTATTATATATTTAATGAAGTTCGTTATTAATTTAATTATTCATAAATTTTTAATTTTTGTAAATTTTCTCTAGATTTATTTGTTTATTTTTGGGAAGAGGAAATCATATTTTATTATTTAATTTTCGGTATAAAGATAATGATGGTATAAAGTTTTACTATCCATACTGTATAGTTATTAGGGTTAGGGTTAGGGTTAGGCAAATTAGGTTTAGTATTAGGATTAGAATTAGTGTTAGGATTAGTGTGGATTAGGTTAGTATTAGAAGATTAGGTTAGAAATTCGGGTTAGGATTTGGATTAAAAATTAAACTTTAAATATTAAGATTTAAACTAACTATACCTGATACAGTAAATAAAAATTATACTACATAAAATAAAAGCTATACTATGCATACAACATAATATGCTATTAATATAACTATTTTCAATTTTATACCTTTCTAAAATAAATTGAAAAATAGCTTACAATGTTTGCATTACCATTTTTAATATGTTACTTTTAAAATTTCATTAAAACTTGAGATTTGGACTTTAAAGTAAATAAGAAAAACTTATTATTGAAAGATAAATTTTTATTATACTACCTTAAACATTATAAAAATATATTTATTATAATAATAAACTTATCAATAGTTTAAACTAAGGATGCTTGCCAAAACTATTTTTTCAAAATTTTAGTTTAGTCAAAATTCAATCTGAAATTATTTTTTATAATAAACTTAATTGCCCTAAACTGTTTTTATGCTTTTCTGAAACTACTGTTTATCAGTATAAAATATACGGTTGCAATATAAAATATAAACAAATATACTGTTTATTAGTATAAAACATACGTTTTTTCTACTGTTTACAAGTATAAACATACGGGTAAAACTGGAAAATATACTGTACGCAAAAAAAGAAAAAAAAACAAAACCAAGATTCATATATACTTACGAATCTTGGTTCTTTTCTGTTCTTCAGAACTAGAAAGTCCGCCAAAACCTAAAAAAAAGTAAAAAATGGTTATTAGTATAAACCGTTATAATATTTTTCTAAAAAATAAAAAAATAAACTAAGATTCGTACTTATCTTACAAATCTTGGTTTTCCATTCTTTAGAACTCAGAATCCTGCCCGCTGATCTAAAATAAGAAAGAAAATGAAATGTTAATGATGTTTCCAACGTTTTTAACATTTCATTAAAAAAAAATAAAAAAAAAAAAGTTCTTTACAAAACATTTTTCAACGTTTCATTAAAAAATAAAAAATAAAAAAATTGGAATGTTAGCCAACGTTCTGATTAAATAAAATGAAAAAAAAGTTATTTACAAAACATTTTTCAACGTTAAAAAATAAAAAAAAAATAATCAGAATGTTAGCCAATGTTTTAATTAAAAAAAATGAAAAAAATTAATATTCTAAAATGTTAAAAAATGTTTCGTTTAAAAAAGAAAAAATAAAAAAATTGGAACATTAACCAACATTCCGATTAAAGAAATTAAATAAAAAAAAGAATTTTTCAGAACGTTAAAGAACGTTCTGATTTAAAAAATTAAATAAAAAAATTAATCAGAATAATGTTAGCCAACGTTCTGATTAAAAGAATTTAAAAAAAAAATATTTTTTCAGAACATTTTTCAACGTTCCGATTAAAAATGAAGTAAAAAAATTAATCAGAATATTAACCAACGTTCTGATTAAAAAATTTTAAAAAACATTATTATTTCAGAATGTTTTTCAACGTTCTGATTAAAAATAAAATAAAAAAATTCAATTAAAAGAATTTTAAAAGAAACGTTAACGTTAAAAAATGAAAAAATAGTTTCACAATATTTCATTGCGAAACTTACCAAAAGTTTGCCAGCTTTTTTCTGTAAAAGGCTTATATCTCCAGAATTACCTTATATTACAGAATTTATCAAATTCTTTACATTTTCCGTAAATAGATCTGTGAAAAGCTCATTTTTACAGAGATTTACAGAGATAACAGATAAAACTTTTTATTTATAGGAAAGAAAAAGAAATGAAACGAAAGGGAAAGGGAGAATAAAAGAAAGGGAAGCCCTATAAAAAGTATTTATATTTAAAATATAATCAAAAACTTTTTAAAATACATTTAAATTATACTTAAAATATATTTAATTTAAAAATTGCGAAATACTTATAATATACTTAAAATGTATTTAAAATTATCTTAAAATATATTTCTAATATATTTAATTTTTGCCAAAATACTTAAAATATACTTAAATTATACTTATAATATATTTTATAATATATTTTAAGTATATTTTAAATACATAAAAAATATACTTATAATAGTCTTATAATATACTTAAATTTTATATTTTAAGTATGGGCAAAAATTAAATATATTAGACATATGTTTTAAAATAATTTTAGGTATATTTTAGATATATTAAAAATATATTTTAAGTATTTTGCAATTTTTAAATTAAGTATATTTTAAATATATTTTAAATATATTTTAAGTATAATACTTTTTATAGGGAAGAGGAAGGGAAGAACAAAGAGAGAACTAAGGTTGCTTGTCTAATCCTCTTCAAAATCCTATGATTAGTTTCATCAAAATTTTACTATAAATTTATTATAGTTTTGGCAGAGTTTCGGCAGTTTCAGCATTTATAATAAGTTTCGGCAGTTTCGCCTTTCTCCAAAGTTTTGCCAGTTTTTTAATATAGTTTTGGCAGAATTTTACTTTTCGGCAAAATGCCATCTTGCCTAAACTCCTAGGTTTCAGCAAGCAACTTTAAAGAAAACAAAGGGAAGAACAAAGGAGTAATGGGAAAACAAAAGGGAAGGGGAAAACGAAAAAGCTAGGAAAAAGCAAAAAAAAAAAAATTAAGCTTTGCCAAAAAAAACTTAATTTCTTTTTTGCTATATCACAGTCCGTAGCAGTAATTAGTAATTCAGTATCACGTGATACACATGATATAGAATATGCTAAAATGAATTTTTTTTAAATATTAATAAATAGTACAGTGATTAGATCAACCTTATGTAAAGGTTACCTTCAAAATTTTACATTCATATCAGATAAAAAATTTCCAGATTAAAAAATTATTCTGTTTAAGTTTTCGTAAAGATTCAAAACTTGTGTTTATGATCTGTAGGATGGCTTGACAGAACTACTTGACCTCTTTCAAAATTCAGAGAAGAATTCTTCAAAGTACTCCTATATAATACTTCTTTTACATCCAATCTTGTTATGGGACGTGCGATGGGTTGTTCTGTGACTAATAATAGGTAAATTAGCACAGTGAAGTAACTACAAAAATCCACGTGTCTAAAGTTGCTGTGGCTTTCCTACAGTATCATCTGATTTTCAGTATACAACTACAGTCAACTTTCTATAAATGCACCCTCTATAAATGCACACTCTCTATAAATGCACCTTTTATCTAGTCTCAACTTGGGCCTTAATGCACGGTTTATATATATATATATTCTGTAAATGCACCCTTTATAAAAAAATTTTATATAGTTTACTTATAAAAACTTTGTATTACCTTAATTTTAGATTAATATTAAATGCACTCTTATACCTGGTCCCAAGGGGATAGAGAGTTGACTGTATACATTTATTACTCGGGCAGCTATTGGTCTAATAAAGCAAATCATATGATCATTTTATGAATCGTTATTTGTCAGCCGGTAGACTAACTTTTTTTCAACTTTTATTTGTAATAGACTTAGTTCACTACTCTTTTTTAGAAATAAAAACTTTTTTTTTCAACCAAGAATAAACCATGTCTAATGACGAAATATATACTGGTTGTAAAGGTAAGCGACTCAAAAGGAAGGAAATATAAAAAATATACTAACCGTGTTTTTTCTTTTGATAGTCCTTGTAACCTATCTGCAAAAACTTACTTCTGATCACTGGTCATACATAGATTTTTTGAGACTAAACCATGATAATATCATTGATTATCCACCATTTACAAAGGATTTGATGGAACCTGGTTTAGGAGATTTCTTCGAGCAGTGCAAAACCTAAACCTAACAATATACGACACTATAAAAGGGAAGGTAATATTTTCCCCAACTTAATTTGCATATTTACATAAAGGGAGCTTCTGGTCAGCTGTCTATCTGACTCAGGAGTATCAGCAGTTTTTCTGACCCAAGTGATAGTGGTGGAAGCTCCTGGTTAGCTGTCTATCTGACTCGGAGTATCAGTAGTCTTTTTGGTCCCCATTACTCGTGACATTTTTTTTTGTTTTGAAGCTGAAACAATGAAATATGTAGCCTACTAATCTTCTATTCTCTTTTTAACAAGGTGACTTCAGAGCATTCTGACTCCAAAAATATTTTGGTTTGTTTTTAGAACGAAATAATATCTAATCGAAAACAAGTAAATACGATGGCGTTGTTATTTTTATTGATATATCCATCTATCTAAAGTGTCTTTATTATAATAGCTTGTGCTTAAAAGCACTCTTGATGCAGAAGGCCTTGGTCTGTTAAATGTGGCAAGTAGGCTACAATCACGGAAGATTACCTTGGATTACGAAGACCAGATTGCAAAATTGATACCCTCTTCTGATAAGCGTTCTCTTGATCATACCTCAGCGAATGATAAATCTACAGCTAAGAGAGTCAGCATTGATAATAAGTTTGCATAAATGTTTCTTCTAAAGTCTTTAATACAATACAGATTATAATAACATAAAAATATCACTAATTTTTTTTGATATGTAGGTTAAAAGTTTTAATAATGATGAATCTATGAAAAATCCAGAACAACAACTGCAATGTTCTCCTCATGAAACACAAAATGCTAAAGATAATACACCACCCCTTCTTACAACAATACACGTAGTGCTGAATCAGATAAATACGTTTTGGATTTGGTAGAAAGTGACACAGAAGTGATTGAAATAGACAAGGGGGACAAAATCAAGTATCTTATAGAGATATTTTGGTATTTTCTATCTTTTATGTATAGTAACTATCTTCACTCATACTTGATCTCCTAGGATGAGGTTGAAATTCGAAATAACATACTTAAAATTTTGGCTAGATGTCAAGACGAAAAAAAAAAGTTGAAAAAATCATGACATCAATTTATCTGAATAATATAATGGATATGTCTGATTCAAAGATACACAAAAAAGTTGAGAAGTCCTTAAACGAATATCAGCTTTTATAGTTTAACAAGATCTTTAAAAAGCAGATTTTAAACCAAACTGACGAGTTCAAAAAATATTTGAGTCAATTTACCGGAGATGTATGTAATAAAGTTCAAATCCCAACTCTGATTCGCAATTCTTTTGTTTCAGGAAGATTCGACTCTTATTATTACAAAGACTATGATATTGCTCACCAAATACTTGAACACTGGTAAGTTTATATGTATGTTTATATTTATTTAGCCGATTTTCATTGTTATTATTAACCTTTCTGTAAATAGTGCTACCCAGTTGGAAGCTCCAATGAGCTATGAATCCAAGAGTTTTAATTTAGAATGAACTTTTGCAATTGACACTATAATCTACATCTTAAATCGATTATTTAAGATGCATCAGGATGTTATAAATAGCGGATAGTAAGAATTTATTGTAAATTTTAAAGTAGACTAGCTTTCAGTTAATTATTTTTTTTACTTAAGATCGAATTGACGACTCCTCACACCAAACATCATAAATTTGATGGATTATTTAAAGTGTTAAATAATCAAGTTTAGCTATTGTTGAATTTTCAAGTAGTAGGAAGGCATCCTTCACTAAAGAAAATAGTGACCATGTTAAATTGTGTCGAAATGCGATAAGAATTCTAAATTTCATGTTGCAAACAATACCAAGCAAAAATGCCCGAATATACTTGATACAATTTGTCAGTAAGTATTTGTTAAAGTCTGAGTAATAAGAAAAATACAAATTATTACATCTAAGAAATTTTTTTTTTTTTTGTAGACAGCTATAGCTATCTTAAGATTGAATATTTGGTCCGTCCCTTACCATCAGTGTACTTTCTTGACCGTTTTGTATGTACTAAAGTACCTGAGACCTTTGACGACATTGAAAAGTTTACCAAAGATATGGTGGAATTGATATCTTGGCAGGTATGGAGTTGTAAGTTGTTTGGGCTTCCTTTTTATGGTAGTTAATTTTAATTAATATAGGCGGATATTTTATTCATGGTCAAGGAAATAAACAAAATTCCTTACACAGCTGGAAACAGTAATGTATGCACAACTCCATTAGAAGATACACCAAAAAAGGACAAAAAGAAAGTCACGAAGAACAATTCATATTCAGGATCACCATGTCCTGGGTCACCAGGCTCGCCATTGATATAAACTATAAAGATATTTTATGTTATTTGCATTTAGCTTTATCTGAATATTATTGTGTTGGTGTGGAGGGAATATATAACTGTGAATTTTTATGTATTAACTTCGTATCTTTGCGAACTTGCTATTTGTAATGTGAAAACTGGTAGAAAATGTTAAAATCATTTTTTTGTTGTATGATTATATATTATTATATTATGTATTTAAGATAACTAATACTAATTAAATTCTCTTATATAACTCAAATATAAAAGGTAATAATGATATTAAATTACTAAACTTATATAAAAATAGAAATCATCTTATTTTTAATAAATAAAAATTAATATATAAAATTTAATTAAGAAGATAAATCAAATTATTTATAAAATTTATCCCTTAAACTGTATTGCAGGCAAATTTGCTCGCAATTTCTAAATTAGGATAAATAACGCTATAAAAAATTCTTTAATTTCGGCCAGATCGTCACATAATTTTGCAGCCAAATTGATCTATATTCTGGCCATAAATTGTATAAATTAAATATGTGGTTGGATGAGAAATTAACCTGCAAAAATAGTATCAGAATTTTTATATAATAAAATCTAAACTTTTCTTACCATATTTTTTCTTTATTTGAATATTTATTATAACTTTTTATTTTCATTATAAAAATTTTGCATTATAATAAATAAAATAGAGATAAAAAAATTAATTTTTATGAGTATATAATTAAAATGCATAATAAAATTTTCATTAAGGTTCTATATAAATTCAAAATCCTACTTTTAAATATTAAAAGTTATTAATAAAGAGAATGTCAAAAAATCACTGGTGGTGATTTTTGCCGATATAATTAAATCATGTGATTATACGTATGTAGAGTTTGGAACCGGTTGCATTTTTGAAAACCGAATTTAAAACGGGTGCAACCGGTTGGACCCTTTTTAAATCGGTTTTTGCAAAATTGGTTGAAACCGATTTATACACCCAGTTTATATTTATTTAATTATCAATTACATATCATTTTTTTTAAACGAAATAAACAGCTTAATGATCACGTGATGTAGATCATTTCGTTTTACTATAACGAATAAATAATGAGCTGCACGTTCCTTATGAAATTATACAATGATCTGTATCTAAACCAGATCGGGATTAGGCTGCGGCTAATTTTTTCCAAACAAACTACATCATAATCAAAATAGTTCTCACATGAATTCCATGAATTCATGAAAATTCACAATGAATTCATAAAATAATTCTCACACGTAGTTGTTTAAATCACCGCATTCTCTAAAAACTTGTAGACATTCTTTTTTTGCTATTAAAATGTCAAGTTCACCATACACATTTTCTGACTCTGAAACGATTGATGATACTAATTCCACGATAAGTGAGAGTAATACCATTATACAAAATCAACATCAGCAAATTTCCTCAACACGAAAAAACCGCAGCCATACAATATTTTTTTTTCGCGTAGATGGTGATTTTGCCTATTGTAAAATTTGTGAATCAAATTTTGCCAACACAAATAAAAGAGCTTATGGCTATAGTCGGAAAGGTGGGAATACAACTAATCTCATAGCACACTTAAGAGATAAGCATAATATAACTAAAGATAATTATTCAGAATATCTGGATGAACACGAAGAGGTATTTCATTTTTTAATTAAGTCATGTGATTATGTCATACAAAAATTTTTTTATAAACTATAAATATTATCTATTAGCCAATTGCTGAACTCGCAAATCATCCTTCAACAACATGTTCTCCTAAACGACAAGAATTAATCACCAGAAAAGTTACTGCTTTTATTATCAAAAATGTTCAACCTTTATTTGTATTACAAAATCAAGCATTTCAAGATCTTTTATTAACATGTGAACTGGGTTATAAAATTCCCTGTGATAAATCTATTAAACAAATGCTTTTTTTAGCATACACATAGAGTAAAAAACAACTTCAATCCTTATTACAAGATACAGCAGTAACAGTACACCTGACGACTGATCTTTGGACATCTAAATCCCGACATGGTTACCTTGGTGTGACTGCAACATGGTTAACTGCGGACTTTGAGTTTCAAGAAGCTCTATTATCATGCAACCACCTTCCTTATCCTCACACTGGTGAGGTTATTTGTGAAGAATTATTTCAAATATTAGAAAGTTGGAATCTAAAATCAACAGCTTTTACAGTAGCAACTGATAATGGAATGAATATGGTAAAAGCAGTTCGTTTATTAAAAGAAAATTATCTTGACCAAATTCAACACCAGTCTTGTGTTGCACACACTTTGCAACTTTCAGTAATGGAAGGTTTAAAGCAATGTAAAGCATTCCATCGTCGAATAAAAAGTTTACAGACCTTTTTTCGCTTACCTAAACAGGCTGAAAGACTTCATTCAGCACAACAACAAAATTTCCAAATAAATTTATCTGAAAATGAATATATGAATCCACTAGAAGTTTTGACAGATGTCAAAACTAGGTGGAATTCTACATACTTAGCGTGGAAACGAATTCTTGAGTTACATAATTTCATGAGAAATGTATCTACAGATTTACTCTTAAATTCTGACCGAGCATCTCAAAAAGAAGGTGAAAAGCTAGAACGATTATGTTTAAGTCCAGATGAAAAAATGTAAATTTATTTATTTTTTTTAGACAAATTAAATTCTTTCATTAATGTTTATATATTTTTAATAATAGATTTCTCCAGAAAATGATTGTCACTTTGGAACCTTTTAAAACTATAACACGTAAAATTAGTGGTGCAAAATATCCAACATTAAGTCTTGTTGTTCCATATATGTATTTACTTAAAAATAATTTTGCACCAAATGAGGAAGAAAATGAAACCTTAGATACCTATCTTAGTTTAATTTATGGATCTAATGGTGAAGAAGAGGATTCTGATGTGGCTAGTGATGATGAATATATTCCATCAGATGGAACAAGACAATATTGGCAGCATTCACATCGTCAATTTCACCACCAAAGATGTGGAAATACACGAAATAGAGGTCAGAGTCGAGGTCGAGGTTGTAGAAGGGGTGGTGCATCCACATCTCATCCAGTTGAATCAAATTTGGATGATATAAATACTGTAGAATATTTACAGCCAGTAAATACAGAAGGTTTATTGCAAAAAGTTCGTGCTGCCATTTTCTTATCTTTAGATGAGCTTTGGACAGTGCCATCTAATATTATGCTTGTTGTAACATTTCTGGATTCCCGCTTCAAAAACTTTGATTGGTGTAATGGTAATGGTAAGGATGAAGCTAAACAATTAGTTCAAGAATTGTATAATGCAAAAAAGGACTTTCTACCTCGAAATAGTATCAATAGTATTATAAGCTCTTCAGATGATGATGATGATATTTTTAAAGCACTAAAAGTTAATAAGGAAAGAGTGCAAGATGATGATGAAGTGATGCTTTATTTGCAACAAAAACAAGTCAGATTGAAGGATGATCCATTAAAGTGGTGGTCAGTTAATGAGATTACTTTACCAATTTTAGCTCAAATTGCAAGAAAGTATTTATCCATCCCTGCAGCATCAGTACCTAGTGAGCGTCTATTCTCTGATGCTGGCAATCACATATCTGCTAGGCGGACCCGATTATCTCCAGAGTTGGTAAACAAAATGTTGTTTTTAAAGAGAAATAGTGATATTTTTGATATTTTTCCTCCATTAAATTAGCCTAGTAGCTATATGTAACTTAGGTTTCTGTATAAATTTTGCTTATTAAATAATAAAGTGATATTTTTGTTGTGCAAATAATCAGCACTTAAAATCATTCATTCAGTTATTTGCGAAAAATAATTGTATTTATATAGTAAAATGATTTAATAATTAAATTTTTATTTTTCATTATTTTTTTCCATTAAATATACATATTATTTGTAAAATTTGCAAATTTGCTAATCTAATTTTTAAAATCTATATAAAAATGATCGGATATATTAAGCATAAATTTTCATTAATATCAAATCGGTTTGGGCATCCGGTTGCACTCGTTTTAAATGCAAACTGGTTTTTATAACATAAATCCGGATTAAACCGAATCATTAAAAAAATGGGTAGAACCGAATTTAAAACCGGATGGTGCATCCGGTTCCAAACTCTATATGTATGTATTACAAAATTGATTAAATATAAATACGTGATAATGTGATATACATGACTATGTGAAACATCATGACCATCACCAGTATTTATACCAAAATCGGCAATTTATAACAAAAAATATGTATAATTAAAACAAATTTATACGCTTTTCTTTTTTTTTATTTTATTTAATAATCACAGAAATACGATTTTCCTTTTAATTACAGAGTCATAAAATACCAGAATGGATAAAAATATGCACAAATGTTCCATTTTTGATGTATATTCCTCAGAAAAGAAGAAGATTTCAGATGTTAACAAGTTACAAGAAGATTTTGAGAGTGAAAGCACTTTGTCAAGTTCAAGTATTGAAGATTCTAATAAAAAACGTGCAATACTTGGTTTAGAAAAGCATAGCAAACATGCTTATTATCACATACTGATCATTTGCCGATTGTAATATATGTGACATCACATTAACTTTGAAGCATTATTTCAAATTATAAATGTGTAAAAAAAATCACATTAAATTATTTTATTTAATAGTTTAAAGTATTAATAGTTTAATATAAAAATTTTGTGCCAAAATAAAATGTAATGCCAAAGTTAGTTTTAGGCCAAATTTTTCAATTAATTAATATATGCCGATCATCTCCTAATCAGATTTTGAAGCTTTGGGCGAAACCACAGAAGTTCAGGCAAAACTTGAAATTTTTATGAGTTATAGATTAATGTCTTTAAAATTAATGGCTGAAGTAACACAGCATAATTTTAGGTAACACAAAATTATGGCCAAATTAATATTTGCAATTATTAATACTAATAATATTACTATTTAATTTAGTACAAAATTTAAAATGCAATAATTTCGCCAATATGGATCTGATGGCAATGATTTTACTACCATTCAAATCCTCTCACTGAGACCAATCTAATAGTATATAATAATTCATTAGAATATGTTCACTGGATCTCAAGATTATAAAATTTGAATTTTTATTTTATTTATTAATTATAAAAATTTATATGTATTGATATAATTTCTGTTAATATTGATCAATTTTACCCTTAAAATTGTCAAATTAAACATCATTTCAGCTTTATATATTAACCAGATAGTATTTTTTTATGTGACAATATTGAAAAAATGATTAATAAATGATCGGTAAATGATCGGTAATAATGTGACAATATAAGGGATGTTCGCTATGCTGTTTAGAAAAAGGTGATACATTTGAAGATTGGAAATCAGCTGAAAAACAAGTTGAAATTTATTTAAAGGTAGTTGGATTTGGAGTTATAAAACGTCATCTTGAAAAAAATAGTTATGGTGAAATTATACGTTGTACTTTTGAGTGCTAAAATTCAGGTGAATATTGTGCAAAAAAAAGAGCTGATGTAGAAGAAACCCATAAACGGGATAGTGTGAAGATAAAATGTTCATGGAAGGTTAATCTTAACTATAATAAAGGTATTATACGAATTACTTCTATACACAAAGAACACAATCACCTACTATATGGAAATGGAAATAAAAACAGAAACCCGCTTACTTATAATAAAGGTCACCATAGAAAATTGGCCTTTACTAATAGTTTTTATCTTACTTTTTTCTTAAATTCTATTGGTTAATTAGCTAAAAAAGAAAAAAATCATAATAATGTAACATAAAATTTCCTTTTATAGTAGGATTTGCAAAAAATTTTATATATGATTTTTACCTTAGGCTTGAGGGTGACTTATCTTATAAGTAAGCAAGGTCCTATAGAAACATAATATTAGATCACTATTTCAACCCAAAAATGCTTGAAGAAATAGAATTTCTTATTAATATTGGTTATGGAGCAGGTCTAATAATTTACATGCTTTAAAAACATTTTTCTGATATAACAATTCATCCCAAAAATGTATATAATGCAATTTGTCTTTTTCGACATGATCAAAAACTAATGAAAACTGATGTTGCTGAAACATATGACAAGTTAATGAAAATGCAATGTGAGAAGAATGGCTAATTTGTAGAAGCAAGAGTAGAGGGTGATGATAATCATCTTACCAGTTTTTTCTGGATGAGACTATTTCAAATTGAATTGTAGCAAAAGTTTTATGATGTTGCGATAAATGATAATACATCTCAGGCAAACAAGTATCAGATATACTTATCCCTTACAATTGTTATTAATAATCATGCAAAATCAAGAATGGCTGCTACAGCTGTAGTTTCAGATAAAACTAAAGATAGTACTTATCAGTGGATTCTTAAATGCCTTTTACGTGTTACAAATGGTCTTGTACTAAGAGTATTGTTTATAGATGCATTTATGAAAAAATCTTGAAAAGAATTTAAAGGGAAAGCTTCATAAAAAATATGATGATTTTATAAAAGAATAGAATAAATGCCAAAATAGCTTTTCTAAGGAAAAATTTCAAAAATGGTAGTATGAGCTTCTCACAAACTATCCAGAAGCATAAAAATATCTTGAACGTGTATTAGGAACTGATGTGATTAGTTAGGCCTTATATTTCATATATCGATCATTTAATGCAGGCATACAATTGACACAATATATCAAAAGTTACAATACATTAATTAAAAAATCTGTTGGAAGATTTACAACATTATATGAACTAGATACTCAAATTCAATTATAGTTTGATAAGGAAGAAAAATTTGAGTGGCTGAAAAAACAAATTAATCAAATTCCAAGAGTTGGTTTACCTAATATTATTGAAAGATATTTCAAACGAGTTGATAGTATCATCAAAAAATATCTTACGTCACAAGTTTTAAAAATGTAACATTACCAAATAAATGAAAGCTTACTTTACTGTGTTAAAAAAATTAAGAACTAAGACCATTTACTTGAACATGAAGTATGAAATCAAGAAATTAATTTATTATTGTTTTTGGATATGCAAGCCATCAAGTCTATAACATACAAAATAAATTAATTTATTGATTTTTAAGCTTGCTTTAGATTTGCAATATTTTTATTAAAATAAAATGATTTTTCTTTATTTACGATTTTATTTATAAAATACTAAAACCTAACTAATCATTACTTCTAATTACATTAATACTTCATATTTATCTATTATCAATCACTGTACATGTAATAAAATTTAAGAGTAAAATTTTCTTATTATGATAGCAGATGTGTATAAGAGACAGCATTAATACTTCATATTTATCTATTATCAATCACTGTACATGTAATAAAATTTAAGAGTAAAATTTTCTTATTATGATAGCCATATTAAAAATTATGGTGCTGTATAGTTATTAATTATATAATTTATGTATGTAGATCAAAATCGGCTAAAATAAATTTTATTGGTTAAAATTGATGATTTTCGAATCCATAATTCTGGCCAAATTTTGCTTAATTCTGGCCAATTTTATAATGCCGGCCTAAATTTTATAAAAATTGAAAAATGCAGTTCAAATGTAACATCACATTTATATAAAATAACTTTCAAACTAAATATAGAAAATAATACTTCTTGACAACATCTAAGAGTGTGTTGAAAAATTTATTCAAATAATTTTTGTTTTTTAAGGTGGATCTTAACTAGAAGTTGGTACATTTTATTTGCTAAAAATAAGGAATAATAAGAAAAACTTGAAATTTGTCAAATATAGTAAATAATTTAAAACTCTGAATTAAGACAGAAAGTATTTTATATAATTTTATAACAAAAAAAAAGCTTAAAAAAATATTAACTCAAATAAATTTTCAAATAAACCCAGAATCTATAAAGAAAAATTTCCCTTCTTTACTAAAAATGGCCAATTTTTTGAAATGATTTTATAATAATTTTAAAATACTACAAAAATACATTTAATATATCAAAATGCTTTTATTATATTTTTGCTATTATTTTGTAATTATATTGTATCTAGGTCTATAAAAATAACTCAAAATAATATCACAATAATTTTTTAATGTTTTTGTTATTATTTTATTATTATAATATAATTAACTTTGATATTATTTTAATATTTTAATCTCAAAAATACCTTAAATATATCTTGATATATTTTAAAAATTTTACAAAATAATTGCACAATTATTTTGAAAGCCATTGTATATAGGTATATAAAAATATTTCAAAAAATTGGCCATTTTTAGTAAAGTTTTTTTCATTATATTTGTATAATAGTATTATAAATTCTTTATTATTTCAATGGTTTTAATTACAAAACAAACTATTTTCTAATTTAAAAAACAATTTGAATATTAAAATAAAAAAATTTCGTGATGAAATAAATAGGAATCTAATATTAAAACATGATTGGACAAAAGTGGATTTACTAAAAATAATGAAAATTTTGTAGTTTTTTTTTAATTTAAAAAAAAATATATTATTCAAAAATAAATCTAATAATACTCTTCCCTTCTTTTTTCCTATAATAAATAAAAATTTATCATTATTTTATATTAAAAAATAAAGAAAATTTGATAAATTCAATAATAAACAAAAATCTTATTGGGTGACCGACCTTATTAACTTAATAAAAGCTGTTTCTTTTGAAAAGTTACACCTAAAAATAAAATATTTATTATTAGTTAAAGGATTCTCATTAAAATTTATTGAAGTAAAAATTCTTTTTTTTATTAAAAAATCAATTTTTTTGTGTTTATACAAAAAACTACCCGAATAACTACTTTGCTAAAAATAGCTATTTTTTTGATATGCTTTTGACATAGCTATAATACTATTTTTATATGGTTTTAATGCATTGTGTCAACCATTAAAACCATGTTATCTAGGCTTATCATTTCATGTCAAAATAATGTCAAAAAAATACAATGGTTTTGTAATTATTTTGTAATTAGTTTATAATTGTATTATAATAGCTTTATGATTTATTTTTAATAAATTTATAATACAGCTGTAATTTATTTCAAATTCATTTTAAATTGTTTTTTAATTAATTTTTAATTGGATTGCAATTGTTAATACAAATATCTATATAGCGTTATAATAAAAATCATTATATAAATAATATACATTAGTTTCGTCATGCTCTCCATCATAACAACCTATTTTGCATTGATGTACAAAATGTACATTTGGTTGATGATCTACCCATTTAATTGCATAAATGCGCCGCCAAGTTCGATCTGTCAATCTTTGAAATCTATAATGTGAACAATCCAATTTTGGATCATTAATTCCTAATGAAACAAACCAATTCAATAGTAAAAAAGGAATTAGTTGTTGATTTTTTTATGAATAAAAATAGCTTGAATTTTTGCGTATGAAGTTGTTATTCTTAAATTAGTTTCACCATCACTTGATATATCTTCCAAAACGTCTACAATATCACCAACACGAAGATTTACATCAACTTGATCGTCCTTATCAACTATAGTATAACTAATACTTTTGAAGTATTTGATCTTTCGTGTTGCTAGATGTTCAGTACAACCAAGTTCTTCCTGATATGCATGTATAAGTTCTGCTAATAAATCATCATTAAGAGATTGTTCAAGATTAGCAGCTTGCAATTCATACTTATTATACTTTCCTTGAACTCTTACATTAATAAAATTTTCATGCATACACGTTATTTGTGAAATTTCATCTTCTTGTTCTAAATTAGTTATAGATGGTAAAATGTACCATGAGTCAAGAAGTGAACGTACACATTGATCTTTTGATAGTATACTAAAATTAAATTGTGCTGTTCCATTATATCTTTCATCAACGCCACCATCTAATAAAAATCGTAATGTTTGCAAACAATTATCATATCGTACAAAGTCCATTTCAATATTTTTCTTATTGGAGTGAGGAATAATACCTTTGTATATTCTATGAATCATTTCTTTCGTAGAGACCGCTGTATTTATTAATGTTGCAAAATTTTTTGCATGCATAACAAAGTGGCGTAAAATGTAAAAGTTCGGTAATTGAGAAATATTAGGAAAAATCTATATTTGCAAAACTTGTTAATAATATATTTGTAATATACATGTGACTTTATGCATGTGACTTACCTTTGCAATTTGCATAGCCCATTGCATAATTCTTTGTTGCAGATCATTATAACCAATTTCAGAAAATTCCTTGCGAAATATGAAGAATGCCATTTTGGAAAAAGATACTCATAAACGTATGAGTTGATCTACTGTATGATTTTTTGTAATTTCGCATACTTTAATTAAATGTTCAACAAATGCCTTATTTAACATTGCAGTATTAGATATTGCTCGATAAATTAAAAATGGCATAATCATACACAGACAAAGACAATCAGAAAAAAAGTAAGATCCTAAATGGGTAATTGGATTTTGTTGACGTGACCAAGTTGGAGGAAATTCAAAGTTATGCCAAATTTCCAAAAATGCGTTTTCTCCTATTGTAGAAAATGTTTGAAATGTTGCTTGAAGCATTTCTCGTGCTAAGCCACCCACACAATGAAATGCATCATGTGGACATTGAAGATAACGATCACGCGTAACTTTATCAAAAATAGAAGGTTTTTTCCGAATACCAAATTCTGTAGCAAGTAGATCTCGTTCAGTTTGAGATTGAGCATTCCTTACAGTAGCAAACTGCAATGTAGTCTTGTGATGATATCGTCCATTTCTTATAATATCAAAAGCAATATCATGTAAGTTATCACGGTAAATCATACAGTTACGGCATCCATAATGTGCATTATGATTTTTTATTCCTGCCTATTCATTGCCCTCCAGTAAGTCACTAGTAATAACTCCTAATCCACCTGCAATCCACACTTCTTGATTATTAATTTTTAGTTCATAACCATGTTCAAGTTCCTGAATATTACTAATAAGTGGTTGAAGTACTTCATCAGTTGTAGCTACGAAAGGGATAAATCCAATAAGAAAATGATTTTTGAGCTTCCGGCGAAGTTCTTGTTTCATATTGCCAATCTGTAAATAAATGCCACCAATTGCATGATAGGCATTGCCAATGTAAATATCAAGAAAGAATTTAAATATTGGTAAATCACGTGGAGGATCCTGAACGGTAGTATATTCAACAGGATGATGATGTCGTAAATCAATTGGTCGTGTAGTCCATCAGTTATCTATATAATATACGATTTCTTCAATAGAATATTTATAATTAATAGGTGGTTCGTTAATGTCCATTAACCATACATTTACTTTGGACTTAACATTCGCAAGACTAATAATAATTGTATTATCCGTCATCCACAGATATCCATTTTGAGAAGCAACATTTCTTTGTCTGGATTTGAGTATTGAAGGTAATGAATTAAATTCAAGGATGCATTCAATTTTGAGGCAAGTATCTTGAGAATTATCAACGCGAAGTATTAATATAATTTGACCATGACACATCTTGCGTGTACGTGTATCATAATACAAGATGAAATCACCAAGATTGTAAACTACCAAATTATTATATTGTATGTGAATATAATTAATAATTTTATTTAAGAATTTAATTAAAAAGAATATACAACACTTACCATTATTTAATTTGACGTTTACATCACCAAACAATGGAGATTTGTGCCAATGATCCCCATGCCATATTTCGTGTTTGTTTTCGCAATATATACCTGGGCCGAAGTACATATGCTCACGTAGCTGTGGATTTGATAACACACGATGAAGAATATTTTTTAAAGGAAAAATTAAAGCTTGACGCGTGGGATTAGATGTTGATGGTGCATTGCAATTGTTAATGGTAACGGTATGTCCTTTGAATGGAAGAAGTGGTAGGCCATCACGATATTTTTTAACAGTTGAAAGTGATGATGGCACATCTTTCGGATTGAATTCAGGATGTTTGACAATATTCGCGAAATCTTTATATGCTTCTAATCCTAATGTAAACCAATTTAGTGTAAATTTTATTATCAATAACATTAAAATAAATATTATATTAAATGTTTACCTATTTGATGCTTTGTAATCCATAAAAACAACAAGAATATAGTGAAGTTTGTAAAATATGGTCCCGTGCTTCCAGAGAAGTAATATTTTGTCTTATTGCCATCATATTCTTCTTGCTCATCAAACTCACTTTCAGTATTACCGAAATTACTAAAATCATCAATATTATCATTATCACCATCGTCATTGTCATAATAAAAGTTCTCGTTTAGTTGTAGTTGTGGTGATATAATATTTTCTTCTTGAATATACTCTTGTGCATCCAAAGAGTCTGAATTCGAATTACCAGTATTTGCAGAAGTTGTTGCATCATCTAACCTCGTATGACGAGATATATTTGAACTGGAATTTTTCGTACGTGATCGTTTAGGTTTGCGCAAACAAAAATCAGAGTCATGATGTTCTTGTTGATCAGCTCTAGTTTGTCTTAGATTCATATTATTCATATTTTAAATAAAAAGGGTAAGATTATATGAAAAGAGATATATTTAAAAAAAAGTTTGTATTTGAAAAAAAAAAATAAAAAAAAAGCGAAAAAAGAAAAAGATTGTGGGAAATTCCAATCACCTTGAGTCTAAGTCTATTTAAGTCTATTTATAGTTAAATTGATCTGATCGTTTATCAAAATTGCGTATGATTTTATAGTATTTAGCTATCAATTAAAAATATATATATATATTTTAATCTCTCCTTTATTCAAAATGACTAAAAAGAGAACTACAAGAAATACAAAACGCTCTATAACTAAAAAAGGTTCTACTAGTACTTTACCTCTTAACATTGAAGTTGAAACTACTTCAACTGTATCTACTCTTGCAAATACAACTTTTCCAGAAATACCTTCTGTAGTCATTGATGATCTTGAGTCAGAGATGTCGGAAAAGAGGGTTTAGAGAAAGACATTACGCCAAATATGACGAAAAAAATGGGTATTGTTTGTTATAATAATATAACAAATACAATTAAGAAATTAATTCAATTTATCTATAGCAAAAAAAAATCTAAATGAACTAAATGATAATACATCAGATTTTTTAAGTCAACCAGATAAACGTGTAAAGCTGAATTATAGAAGAGGTTTTTTTTTTTAAAAAAAAATTGTAGATCTGTTTTTTCATGTTTGACAAACTTTAATTTGTAGAAATCGCCAAATATAACCAAGTAACTGATCAACCGATTTCACACAAAGTCCCAATAACTGAATATTTGGTAGATGATTCAAATCATTGCACAATACCTACTGACGAAACAGAAACAACAGATAGTGATGATAATACTAATACAATCTGACAGCCATCTTCTACCACAGAAGACCAAAATTCAGCGCTTAAGACATTACTTACTTCTAATGATTTGGTACCATTATTTGCTACGTTTTTTAAAGCAATGGTTTCAAGCATATCTGCAGAATCTGCAGAAAAACTGATGAATACCGATCCCGACCATAGTAATACAACTCCGAGTAATAATGTAAGTTTTCACTTATTTCGGGATTTATAAAATAAAATTTTAAATATTAATTGATCTTTATATACTAGAATCGGCTTGCAACTTTATTTATAAATGAGTCTAAGGTTCTCTTTCTTCGTATACGAAAGCCACCTCCAGAACTGATTTTAACATTGGCCAGGGAATGTGCACGACATCTTGAAATTACTGAACTAGATGCTAATAAAGCTAAGCAGAAAGGTTGTGGATGGTTCGCTACATGGAGAGTACGATTGTATAATGAATGTACTGAATTGGCCTTTAGTTTCTTAGACAATTATAAGTAAGTATTATTTGTTATTATTTTTGCTCATTTTCTAAATCCAATATAATAAATTAACTGCAAAATTAATTTGATATAGCGTATCTATGGATGATCTTCCAAATTCGTCACACCTTCGAAATTTCGTGAGCGCAGATGACATTACTAATATTTTCGAGCCACAATTAAAACAAGTTAGAAGGGACTCTTTGCTTGAAAACTAGTTATCATGGAATGCATTAAAAAGCTATCTGGCAGAAGTTACATTGACTATGATACACTACTTTGTATGTAAAAATATTGACCGCAACAGATATAATAATTCTACAAAAGGACAACGTGCGGGATGGAGAAATGCTATGTTAAGTGATTTGCATTCTCTTGATCGTATTACAATTGATATACGTGTTATTTCTGAAAGTGGGGTAACACTAGCACAAAATTTGAATATTCGTAGTTATGTATCTTTGTAATAATTGATTACAAGCTTGCTATATATTACGTATTATTAATATTAATATAATTTATAAAAAATTATTGTAATAATCAATTACCAGTTTTCTATATATGATTTTATTAATGTAATATAACAATTTCATATTAATAATAATAACAATTGCAATACAATTTCATATTAATAATATAATCATTGTGATATAATTTCAAATTTATTGATTTTATTATTAACAATATTAATAATGTATTCATTACAAATATATTGTGAATTATTAATTAAATTGTTTTGAAATCATGATTTGTAATACTTTTATTAGCCCTTGTGATATAATCTTTGTAATTAATTGCGAAATATAAAAAAACAATTTCAACCATTACAAAATAATGTCAGTATTACAAAAGTATAATAAGAATATTATAAAAGTATTTCAAAAAAATAGCCATTTTTAGTAAAGTACCATTAAACCCTTAGAAAATCTTTTTTCTCTTGCAAAATTACATATATTTTTGCTATTAAAACTATATATTTATCCAAACTTTTAAAGGATCTCAAAAAAAGTTCATTTTTTAACATAAACTTCTTGTATATACGAAGAGAAAAAAAAAATTTCAAAAATGGAAAATTAACTTTAGAAACTAGTAGAGTACATGATGTTCTATCAAATTACTTAATTTGTATGGAAGTTACATATTAAAATTGATGGTTTATCATAAAATGAAGTGACTCAAATATGGTTACATGAATTTTTTTTAATATGAAAATGATTTGCATATTACATGCACGGTAATTGTTATTCTTTTCATTTAGCTTATGATTTTGATGAAAAAACAAATAGTACATCTAGTTGAAATGAAGATTAAGAATATAATGAACGATCTAAAGGTAAAAAATGGAAACAATATGAAGAAGAGGAATGGGAACAAACTAAAGAAAAAGAACTAGAACAATCTGATGAAAAAGAATGATAACAATTTGATGAAGAACAGAATCAATTTGATGATGATGAATGGGATCAATCTAATGATGAAAAATAAGATCAATCTGATGAAGAAGAGCAGTATCAATATAATAATAAATGGAAACAAGTCTAATCAGAAACAATTTGACAATAATGAATATATATAATGTGATGATAATGAATGAAAATGATCTGATAATAAAGAACAAGAACAAGAACGATTTGACAATGAAGGAGTTGAGAAAAGTAGAATGAAACAGAAAGATAGCAAAGTTAAGTTTGCTGAAGATGATTATGAATTAAAACTGTCAAATTTACATTCTCTAATTTTATATCTTAGCCATACTGTTATTCAAGAAGTTTGGGGTGTAATAACTATCAAAAAAAATAAAGAACATTTCATGATATTATATGGTTGCTAATCATTTGTGTACATATATGTGGCTCGTAATAAGAGGATTTGTTTGCCGTCACTTCTTTTCAGTGATGTATAAAGAAAGACAAATCTCTAATCTATAATCTAAATAACTGAAGTAGCAGCTTACTTACTGATATGAAATAGCAAATATATTCCATGAGATAACATATTATACTAAAAAAAAGGAATCAGTAGTAAATCTACAAATTAATTAATCAAAGTAAAAAAAAATTCTGAAAGAAACAAAAATTTCTATTTACAAAAAAATAAAAATAAAAATTAAATTTATATTAGATAAAAAACTAACTTCTCATATATAGATCAAAAATAAGTTGTCCATTTCAAATCCTGTCTGTCAGCTTCTTTAGCATTTTCTTTAATTCTGTTACTTCTTACAATTTTCTCTTAAAGATCCTAAGACTCTTTTTCTTTTTATTTTATTTATTATTAAACTTGCAATTCTGGTTGGAAGAGCCTCTTGAGTTATTTTTCTTCTTTTCTCAATCTTATTATAGTTGAATATTCAGAGGAATTCTGTTAGTACCCATAGCTTTATCTTTTATCTTTAGAATTGGAATAAATTGATAAATTGGAATTTTGTAAATTAAATATATATATAATTAATAATGAAATTTAATTTTTAGAAAAAACTTTTAATTTTTTTATTACAATTATTTAAATATTACTTAAATTTAAAATAATTTAATAAATTTGAGATTTAGCATTTAATAATTTTAAATTGAATTTTAAGATTTAAATTTAAGTAGCTTAGTAGGACCCCACCTATTACTAAAATATATTATCGATAGAAATTTCACTTTTATATGAAATCTTACCTTAAATTCTATTGGTTAATTAACTAAAAAAGAAAAAATCATAACAATATAACATAAAATTTCCTTTTATAGTAGGATTTTCAAAGAATTTTATATGTAAACCTTACTTTAGGTTATAGGATCTATCTTAATAGTAGGCATGGTCCTAGCTTAGTGGCTGTTTTAATTTTAAAAACCTTATATATTATAAATATAATTTTTTTTTTTAATTTATTATTATCATTTTTCATTTTTTTTAGTATAATACAGTAGGTGATCAAAAGTATACAGACACTTTTCAAAATGAAAAAATTTATATACATAATAATAAAATTAAAATAAAAAATTAAGTTAAACATATTCATTATGTCTTTATTTATTAAACTTTATTAAACTAGATAAAAATTTATTGATAAATTTCATTTTTATTTGTACCTTAATTCTATGAGATATGTAATTGATCAACTAAGGTTGCTTGTCTAAACAGGACCGGGAAAACTATATATAAAGGTCACCGGAAAAAAATCAGAAAATCATATATATGCGAACCATCTTATGATTGGTCAATTGGCTATTTATTTACATGTTTTCGCTCCAAAAACAGAAAAAGGAAAGATCTTCACTCAAATTTTCTTATTCTTGTGAACCAACATGTGACTTTTATTAATTATTTTTACGGTGACCTTTTTGAAAATTAAATATGGGTTCGAACCAAGAAAACCGGTGACCTTTATTAGTAGTTTCCCGGTCCTGTCTAAACCTCTTCAAAATTCTACGATTAGTTTTGTCAAAATTTTACTATAGATTTATTATAGTTTTGGCAGAGTTTCAGCAGTTTCAGCATTTATAATAAGTTTCGGCAGTTTCGCCTTTCTCCAAAGTTTCGCCAGTTTTTTAATATAACTTTAATATAGTTTTGGCAGAATTTCGCTTTTCGGTGAAATGCCATTTTGCCTAAACCCCTAGGTTTCGGCAAGCAACCTTATGATCGACATTTAAAATATACCAGAGAAATATATTTTATGCATTTTTTTTAATATACTTTTCAAGTATTTTATCAAGAAATTTAATATAACATGCAAACATAATGTAAATAATAAAATTTTGCATAAGTTTATTAGCTCAATGTAAGGTAATTAAGTAAAATTTTACATGAGTTTACAGAATTTGCAAAATTCGTATAAATTTAAGATTTATTAAGAATATTTCAGTATCTAGTGATTGGATTTTTATGATCTTAGATTTATTAGATCCGCCTCATTGGGATTATTCGAATTATAATAAAATAACAATTGTAAAATCAATATTTGGCACACAATTATATTTTAATTATTTAGAATTATTTTATAATATATTTTGATTCAATGATCAGATTTTTGCGATGTTTAGCTCATTAGATTTGTCTCATTAAGACGATTCAAATGATACTAAAATCATATTAATTAGAACGATATTGATTAAGTTACATCATTTTCAAATTTTGTGAACCGCATAATAAAATTAGAATAATTTATGCCATAGATAGTTTCATATTTTTAAAAAATTCTGATAAATATAAAGCATAAAAATTTGTTTATTATGATTACAAATATTAGGTTATAAATTATTTATATCACATTAATACATAATTTTTTGCATAATTTGGTAAAACAAAGTGTCCTTATACTTTTAATCACCTACTGTACTACTATACTATACTACATATAATATTTATTAAAATAAGTTTAACTTTCATTTAATAACTAATAAGTTATAATTGTGTTAATAATTTTATAGTATTCATAAACCATAAACCAGTATTTAGTTTACTAAGATTCTAAATAATTCTACTTTTTTAAAGAATTTTTTATTTATTATTATTATCATTTTCATAAGTACAATTTTAAATAACTGATTAAAAGTATTAAAAATAATAATTTTATTAAAATAAAAGATGGTTCTTATTAAATTTTCAAAGGTATTTAAAAAAACTAAAATATTTGAAAAAGATTTATATATAGAAATAATTAAATAATTTTATTTATAAAAATGAATGATATTTTTATTTTTTTTTTGATTTTTTCATTTTTTATTAATACTTTCACCGACAGCTACCAAAAATTCTGCTAGACAGTCTAGACTTTTTTCTTTATCATTATAGACTGGCATAAAATTAAAATATTCTAGAAATATAGATCAAAGAAAATTTATAGCAGGTTTAATTCTAATATTAGTATAGTGATATCTTTATAAATGCACTCTCTATAAGTGTACTATACCCTTTCTATATATACTCAATAACTTGATTCCAAGCTTAGAATTTAAAGCTAAGTGTACTTCCTATATATATATATATATGTTCTACACATGCAAGTAATTCTGAATCCCAGATATATTGAAGTACCTCTATAAATATATTTATGTGACTATTGACCAATTAGTGATAGCTGTTTAATTACTATTAATTTTCTTAAAAATAGATAAATTTATTTTAGACATTAGATAGTTCATAAAATATGTTAGTTTCTATTGATTTAAAATGTATTAAAGTATTTTAAATTTAAATAAATAAAAAGAAACCTTTGAATTAAAAGGTTTGAAAGATTTTTAATTGTCTATTTTTATATTGGCTGTTCTTTAAATGTACACTCTTCCTAAATGCACATGTATAGCCAGTTCTGAGGTGCATACACTTATGAAAGTATTACTATATTAAACTTTTTGACAATTTTTTTAAGGGTGTAATCCATTAGCATAGTTTAACCAGATTGATAGGTTAATTATTCTTCTTTTATCAAGTCTTGTAATAAATCTGTAGTAATAGCTTTTTCACAGAGGCAGACAAGACCAGCATGCCTGTCAAATAATAGAATTATAAAAGAAAAGTAAGTGTTAGATTTTGATTTACCATGATTCTCAATTCATAGTCATTTCCAAACTCATTATATAAGAACTGTAATTTTGGTTCATGAATGGTTCATTAACATTAAATGGTAATGTAGTTACTTTATTTGAACTTAAATTTAGAATACTGAATGTGCTAATGGTGATAATAAATCAGAGAGAATAGCTTGATTTTGAGCTTTTAATGTCACAAAAATTTCTAAGCACAAGGATCTAACATCATCATTCGCCTCATACAATTTATTGAACTTAATACATTAGTGAAATTATTAGGAGAGTTGATAACCAATTCTTAATAAAGTTAAAATAACTGATTGATTTGAGGTCAATGTTAGAAGAGAATCAGACTTGTCAAATGAAAGAGGGAACGAAAAAGGAGGGAGAACGAAAGGGATCATTAAACTGGTATCTAACTTGTTGCACCCGTGTGGGCTTTCTAGAAGTTCATGATCATACATGGGACCTTAATAAAAATTTGAAAAAACATGCATTTAGAGAGGGAGTGCATTTAGAGAAGGAAATATTATATGATCTCTATATACTTGGGACTGAGTAAGAGGGTGCATTTAGAGGAAAAATATATAATACGTGCACTTAGAGAGAGTGCACTTAGAGAGAGTTGACTGTATAACTAATTCATCATCAAAATCATCAAAATAATTTTTAAACAGTTTATGAATTTCCATTACCATACTGTTTTTACTTGGAAAAGAAAAACTTAGAGAGAAAGTTTGAGGGTATATGCTTCTAAAAAACTTTCCGAGTACATCGGACTTATTGGACTATGACATACAGTATGTAAATGGAGTATTTATAGATAACAGGCTTATCTCATTGTGTATGACGTATACACCGATGGATTTTATACTTTTTTATACTTTTTTATACTGGTGCCCTGTAAAAAAAATCGATCCGTTTTTTATATTCCGTCTTTTTTCCGTAAAAGGCTCATATTTCCAGTAATTAATAACCTTATATCACGGAATTTATCGAATTATTTACATTTTCCGTGAATGGATCCGCGAAAGGCTCATTTTTACGGAGTTTTTAACAGAAATAATGGATAAAATTTTTTTATAGGGGTGGAGTAATTTACAAAAAAATCCATCGCTGCATGCATAATAACTAAACATTATATTTATTATATGTCACGTGCTAAACCAAAAAGATCTGCTCATCCTAAGACATCATGTAGTCAAAATAATATAATATTCTAACTTTGGAAAAATTAAATATTGTAAGTAGAAATACATATTAAAGAAACTTTGAAATTTTATTATTTCTTTTACCGTATCAATAAGCAGGAAGCAGGATTGGAAAGTAATTGATGAGAGAAATTACTCAAATTAGCCACATTAGCTCATGTCACACAGCTTTTTTAAGTTTCTCCGAGTCATAAATTTGTTTATTATTTATTTATACGTGTAATTTTTTGATTTAATAAATTGTGTTGCTCCAACTCGGGACACTTGTTACATAATCAAAAAATTTACGATTATTTCCACTGAGGCTAAATTTATAGAAATAACTTAATCAGGAAATACTTAACCGAAGGGTACCCAGGCCACTCATCAAATAACGTAAAATTTTCATCATAAACTAAACTTTATTCGAATATTTATTTTTTAATATTAATCACATAATTACTTCGCTAAAAAAAACATTCTATTACGTCAATAACGTCATATTTAAAATTATTTATGTTTTATGCCGTAACTGTTTCACGGGTTTTTTTTTTGCGATTAGGTTATCCAACATCTTTTTTTTTTTCTATCATCATCGTTTTCTAGTCATACATTTTATACATTTTATACATTATATACATTTTTCGTGAAACTTTTGTTGAAATCGTAACACTTAATTATTAATTATAACATTTTATTAATTATAATAATATTTGTATGTTTCTCTTAAGATGTAAATCTAGATAAAATTATTATATTCTTTAAATTCGTTAAAATTTTAAGACCTTGCTTGGTTTTCCAAAGACTAAATATACTTAATGAATATAAACTATTAAATAAATTAATTGATCGGTAGCTGTAGTATAACAAAAATAATAAATATATAAATTTTCCAATTGGTCGTTGATGATATTTTAGTTTACTTCATATTTATCATTTAAACCAAATTTAATTATATATTCTAACTAAAAATAATGCTAATACCAATAAAGTATAAAATTTTCCTTAAAGGAATTTCATTGTTAATAAATTTAAAATTTTGTAAAATGCTTTAAAAATTGTAATAAATTTTTTAAGGTCACGTACTTGAAAATTTTTTTAGTTTGGAGTCTAATTTAATAGTTTTTTTTTATTAAAAAAAAAAAAATGTATATATATTGTATAATTGTATATATATTATATATATTATATATATATTCACTCATAAATTATGTATATATTTTGGAATAATAAAAAAAATTAAATTTTATTATTTAAATTATTTAAATCGATGTAACAATTTAATTATTGTAGTATCTATCCATAAATTAATCTTAATTATTAAATTAAAAAGGAGAAAAAAAAAAAAAAAAAAAAAAAAAAAAAAAAGAAATAACTATTAAATAATAATTAAAATATTAAATTAATTCTTTTTTCTTTTGCTCATCTTTCTTTTTCTTGTTCAAAATAATAAACCTAACAAACGAAATGCTATCATATAAGGGATTAAACTTAAAATTATCTTTTTTTTTTTTGTTTGAAACGAAAAGGGAATCTATCAAAATTTGTTTATGTAGTCTATGTTTGTAATATCATATTTATAAAAGGATAATCTTAAAAAATGTATCGAAACGAAATTATTTAAAGGTAAAAACGAATAAAAAAAAAATTTTGTTTAACCGCTGGAAAACCCTTCTCTAATCCATCCCATAGTAATACCTTGTTCTTCGGTATCTCCTCTTTTTCTACCCATAACGAAAACACCATTATGTTCCAAATTAATAGCGATACACTCCATTTCAGGAAATCCGGTGATTTTAACTTGATCCCATCTTTTTCTATCGGGTAAATATAATTTACATAATTCCCAAGGGTTTGTATTCTCTTTTTCATCATCTCTATTCCAATTATCTCTTTCAAATCCCCCAAGGACTGCAACTCTTTTACCGACACTAAACATTGCTGCTCCACACCTTCTGCCTACGTTATTTCCGGTAGTAGTATGCCATTCTCCACCAAGTCCAGATGAGAATACGGGTGAAGTATTATTTCTCGGAGAAAATATTTTTTGCCATTTTTCTTGTTGAAATGATGATGATATACGTGATCCATTACTACCTTTACTACTTGTACTATTTTCTTCTGGTGTATTCTGTTCTTCATCTGTTGAATCTTCTTGTTGTGAAGAATTAAACGTAAAACACCATAAATCATCATCATCATGAATTCGAGATTCAGGAGTTGACGATGTTATTTGTTGACCTCCATATACATAAAAATTATAATCTAAAATAATTGTAGAATGTAAACTTCTAGCATACGGAACATGATCATATGAATCTCGATACATGGTCCAAATCTTCGTTGAAATATCGTAAATGTGAAATTCTTTGGTATCATACTCTCTTGGAGAATCTAGTTATGAAGAGAGAAAACGTTAAGATTTAAGTATAATAATAATAATAATAATAATAATAATAATGTAAAAGAGATTTACCATTCATAAGACACCTTCCACCAAATAAAGCTATACATTGAGTACCTATAGCGTTTAAAGAATGCATTTTACGTGCGGAAGGTATATCACCCCTTTGTCCCATAACTTTTTTAAGTACCATTTTTATTGGATCTAATACGTATAAAATTCTGGTAGATTCTCTGGTTAAACTTTCTCCACCAAAAAAATAAATCATTGACGAAATTGCTACCGCAGCCGTCGATCGTAACGGTTGATAATGTGTTTCCATCTCAGGGACAAGTTCCAATTTTTTAATTTCAACATTATCTGATGATTCGTTGTCATCATCTGATTCAAATTCGACGAAAGTAACTCTTTCTCTTTTCCAACTTAATGAAATTACTTCAAAGTCTAATATCCAACAAATTGGAGATTCTTCAAAAATCATTAAATATAATTTACCATTTAGTAATACTCCTTCGCGATAATTCGCTGCGGGTGGCGCGTTTGGTACGTTTTCTCCTTCGATAGGATGACTTATAATATCGGTAGGTTCATGACTAAAATCTTCGTTACTAGGACTAACAGGATTATCAATGGTATCATCGATAATATTTATAGGATGCCATTTTGGTAACGCGTAACCAACATGATAAATTCTAAAAACTCTATAAAGCCACGAACATGTAAGTGCAAAATTTAATTGATCTTTTTCAGTCATGTATTCAAAAATATAATAAAGAGCTTCGATCGGCAATAACTTGTAAAAAAAATTTGCTGAGGTAGAACTCATTTGAGCGGAAAAGAAGGGAGGGAGGGAAGAATAATAAAATATTTTTTATTGGGGAACGTAAAAAAAAATGTATATAAACGAATTTAGTATCTTCTCTTATACACATCTAGATGTGTATAAGAGACAGGTTTAAATGAGAGTTATGAGCTATATATATATATATATATATATTGATTTTTTTGATTTTTGATTTTTGATTTTTGATTTTTGATTTTTTTTTTCTTTTTACCAAATGATTTTTTCACAAGAGGTGATGGAATTCCCGTTCGACTTTGAAGTAATTTATAGAAAAATCACGAAATACAACCAGCCACAGTGTACGTAAAATATTAATATTAAAAACATTAATCAATTTGTTACCTGTAGTAAAAATTGTGTGGAATGTTGAATCAAATGATTTATATAAAACAAAAGTATATCATAACAAATCAGGAAGACCGCTTACAAACTTTCAGCCTAATAAAATAACTACAAATATTCACAATAGTTTTTTATTATTATTAATTTTGTTAATATAATTTATAATTGAAATTATTTTTAACTAAACCAAAAATATACTTTAAATGGCTTATTTAGATAAATTACCTTATAATTTGAATTTAATTGAGTGTTTAGGGACTGGTAGTAAAATTTTAGCCATTTACGAATTAAATCACTTGGCAAATCTTGTGATTTAATTATGGTTAAATTTCGTTAAATTTCCCTCCGAGAATAAAGGAACCAAAAATGAGCTATGAAAGAAGTCAACATGGAAAAAGTATCTTTATATAATTTTTTTTTGATAACTTTTTTTTTTTAGTTTGGTCATTAATCCTCATTCTTTTTTTAAAGTTAGAGAGATATAATTGCGTCATATCTATATGATTTAACCAAAGTAAGCAACAAACAAATAACAATAATTTATTCATTATACCTTATATAATTTAAAAATTTTTTTAAATTATGCAATAAATATTTAATTTTTAAATTATTCCCCCGTTAATAATGTTATACGTTACAGGGCTGCCGCAGTTCTTTTTATTACTAGATTTGTGTTAAATCGACATACTCGCTTGCCAATTAAGATTAGTATGACGATATCTATGATTCATTAATTACAATTTAAATGAAAAAAAATAAGTTTTTTTTTTTTTTTTTATGTATAATACATAAATTATTAGATTCTGCGGAAAAATTATTATTGATATCGTCAAACCACGAGGATCATTATAAATTTTGTGCCCCAGCACCGGTTTTGCCATATTAATCCACCAAGAATATAAAAAACGAAAGAATTTTGTTTTAAAGATATCCAATCGATTTATTAAAACCCGGGCCTAACCTATTTCAATGACCAATTATCAGCCACGATCTTTTTTACAAAAAAAAAAAAAAAAAAAAAGATAGAGAAATTTTCCAAATCGGCATCTGATAGAATATTTTTATATTTTTACCCGCAGGAAAATTAGTGCCAACCTTATCTGGAAATATTCAGTAAAATATTTGGAAAATAGTAACCCAACAAGAAAGGTAATATTCCAAAGTCTAGTTCCTAATGGTCAATTTTATAAGACTAAAACTAAAATAAACTTAAAGGATCCCTTTTTTATTTTATTTTTATTTTATTTTATTTTTTTTGGAGAAAATTTCATTTTATAATCGCGCATTTTTATATTTTTATGGTAAATCTTTAAAAGTACGAATGTAGAAATTTGTAGAAATCAATAGAATAATCAAGAAAAATCTTGAAAAAAGTTTATTCCATTCATTGATATCGATGATTGGTAAACGTTAAATTTTTTATAGCTTGTACAATCAAATGACATATTATTCTATTACATAATTTAGAATTTTCTAGCCTAAATTACATAAGTTTTTTTAATTCTATGTGTTTTGATAATTTCTTCCAACTTGCCTTTTAGAATAAATTTCTTTTTTTATATTTTTCTTGAATTTTATTATGTATATTGTGTATTATATAATTCGTACTTTTTATTTGATAAGAATGGCTAAAAATTGTTTAATTCCGACTTTACGCCACAATTTGATCTGTTTACGCCATAGCCGAATTGCTAATGTTACGATAGCTATTACCTGTTTACTGTTTGAACTAATATAACTAAAAAACATGACCATACTGAAACATCATTAAATTTCGTATTTAAGAAATTTTCGATAAATCTAACTATAAAATCCGTTAATGCCTAAACTATATATGCTAAAAATATTAATAGGCGTTTGCAATTAAATTGGTTTTCTAAGATCTTTGCCAAATTAATCCATTCCCCTAATAATTAAAAGAATCGAATTCTCTTTACCCATTCTAAAAAAAAAAAATTCAATTTTTAATTCCAAGATTATAAAAATTTGATTTTGATTGATATTTGATTATAACGCTATTAAAAGTTAAGCCACATATTTTCTCCTATCAATATTTTAGATTAGGTAATTTGAATCGTTATATCGGGAATCGAGATATTTGTAAATCAAATCTCCTTTAATATACTGATATAGAAATTATATCGAAATTTTTTAAATATGTACAATATTTACACATTACTATATAAAAATAGTTAATATTGGCGCATAGTGCTGGCCGAGTTAGGTTAATTCTGACGGCCGGAGTTAAGTGATGATCAGATTTCAATATTGAGTAGATTTATGATATTGTAATATAATTAATTATAGAATAATAAGTTCAGTAATGAGTTCTGACTTCTGTCCATATTTGTTAAAATAGAAATGTAAACTTTTTACATGAATTTATTTTAAGGTCCATGAACGACTGGTAGAGTTGAACGATGTTAAAAAAAAATATTTACTTGCTTTTAAACTAGTAGTTACGGTGGGCATATGTCCCCTCACGTGAACTGTCACCAATAAAATCGTTTTATCGTGTCGGATATCTAATTTTTTTTTTTGCTCCGGACTCAACAACGGTTATACTTAATAATATTTTATACTAAACCTTATAAAGTTAATTTAAATACAAAAAAAATAATTACTCCTATTCCGCATAAAATATAAATACTAAATCTATATATAGTGATAAATATAAATGTAAATGTTCAATAAATCATATGGTATTAACAGTGTATTACGGTAACTAGTAAATATAATTTATTAATAAAACATTTATTTATATATATAGGTTTGCATTATAGACAGTACAGTTTAATTTAATTATTTATAATTGAATTAGTAAAGCATTTATTAATATTAATAAAAGGTTAAAATATTTAATATATAGAGATCATGCATTGTATAATAAAAGATAATAATACAATTTTTAAAAATAATTTTTAATAATTTAATATAAGTAATTAATTGAGAATATTAGTAGCTTTATTTTATATTTATTTTTGTTTAATTATAAAATTTGTATAATATTAAAGTTTAATGAAGTTTATATAATATTTTATAAAAAAAAAAATAAACTAATTTATTTTTAATATTTATAAATGCAAAATTAATAAAATTAATAATAAAAGTATATTGATAATATTAATAACGGAATATAGTTATAGATAAATAATAAATTTATTTTATTTTACAAAATTGTAAAATTTTTAAATAACTCTTTAATCTTAATAGCAGAAATTAGTAAGTATAATTATATTTATTATAATTAAAATATATTATAAAAATGATCTAAGAAATAGTATTTGTGATTTATAGTTTAAATATTATTCTAATATCTTTTTAAAAATTTAATCAACATTATAATTATAAATCAAATATACCAATCATTTAATGGAAAACTGCTCAAAATACTAAGAAAAAATGTGAATTACAAGCTTTAGCACTTCAGCTTTTTGCTGTATCTTCATATAGTGCTTCTTGTAAGCATTTCTTTTTAGTTTTAAAATGGTTTTATAGTCAAAGACGTACAAAATTAGCTGTAAATCAAGTAGAAGATATGTGTAAATTGCATACTTATTATATTACAAATGCAAAATATGAATTGCCTTATTATGCAGTTGATACTTCTGAATGTTCATTATATAAAAAAATGATAAATACTTTAACAGAGAGTTAATTAGTAAAGGAGATTATAATTTTTTGTATAATGAAAATATAATTGATAAGATTATTAATATATCTAAAACATATAATCTAAATGTTACTTTAGATATAGATATTGATTTACAAATTTTTAATATGAAATAAAATGAATTTAAGAAAGATAGAGTAATAGTTAGTCAAAGGAAACAAACTGTTATATTAGATCCAGAACATAAAGATTATGATATTGAAGTATTGATAGTTAAAGAAATAAATGATAATAATAAAAATTAAATTTTATTTTAATTTTAATACTTTAGCAATTTTATATATAGTGAATTTTAATCTTTAGTAATTTTTTATAATTTTTAGTTTTTTTTAGTAATTATTAGCTTATATTATAATAATAATAACATTAATATAATTATAATTAGTAATAAATATAATAAAATAAATAAATAAATGCATTTTTTAGTTTCAGTTTATAGTATAAAAATTTAAAAATTAATTTTAGTTTACATAAAATTTTGGCTAGAGTTTTAGATTTTGGTATTAGTTTCAAATTAGAATTTTGGACTTTCAGATTCAGCCATACCTTTGATAGGTTTCAGTTACAAGTATAATTTGTACAGCTTTTTATTTGATTTTTTCTTTAATGTTTTGTATTAGAATATAAGATTTGTGCAGATTTTCTTTCCAAAAAATTTTCTGATGAATAAATATTTTAAGTATTATTATGATAAATTGTAAGTTTATTAATACCATTCAAGCTATTGTCTTATTTTTTGATTGACTTACCATTTAAGATATTTGAGCTTGACAAATATATCCTTTTGAAACATTTATAACTAGAAATCAAAATTAATTATTATAGGATCCCAGACATCACATATATAACTCACATTTGAGTTTTAGCAAATTCAATTAAAATTAGGTTAAACTCATAATTTTAGATAAAGCAAATTGATTGAAAATTAATTAATAGTCATAATTATGAGTTTTAGCAAATTGTATTGATTTTACAAAGTCATATTTTATATTTGAGTAAATTAGTACTTTTTTTTATCCTTTTTTTTAAACTTTTATTGATAATATTTTTAAAAATATTAGTTTCAAGGTCCGGGTTATATTTTGGCCAAAATTAAGCATAATGCGGGCTAAAAACCATCTGATTAGTTTCACAACATTTTATTTTTTAATAATTATTTATATTTAATTTATTATTTTTATTAATTATTATTTTATCTATAATTTACATATTTTTAATTATAAATTATAAAAATTAACAGTTTAATTAATTATTTTTTTTATTGATAATAAAAAAAAAAGATTGTTAATTTTGGTAAATTGACAATTAAATTTACCGATTTACAAATAATTTGAATAAATTGAAATTATATTTTATTAAGCAAATTTAAACCTATATTATTTAGAATTTTACTATAATTCATATTTTGAGTTTTAGCACATTAGTATAGATTTAAAATGTGATAATTTGATTTTTAGTAAATTAGATCTATTTTAGGCTAGATGTTTTCTATACATTTTCCATTTTTTCAGTATATTTTTCAGATTTTTTTTTTTATAAGGATTTTTACTTTAGTATTTATTAAAGTTTATTTATTTGTGAGTTATATTAGTATTATTTAGGGTCCTATTAAATTTTCATACTTTTAATTTTATATAATAAAAACTAAAATTTTTAATAATTGTCAAATTAAAAAAAAGTGAATAATTTTTATTTTTTTAGATATTAATTGTTAATTTAAAAGATAAAAATATAAAAATTCATATCATATTTTTTTTCAGAACTGTAACTTTCATTTATTATATAAAATTTTGAAAATACAGTCAAATCTTTATACAATGATATATCAGGACTCATAAGAAAAAATTTAAAAAATATTGTTATATCAAATTATACTGATATTTATATGTCCTCACATATAGTAGAAATGTAAAATTTTATTGGTATATCAAGTTTTTAATAATGTATCAGTATATTGAATATCGAGTTCTGACTGTATAAAAGTACAGTATTATTGTTTTAAAAATTAAATTTTTTCCAATTTTTTATATAATTTATATAAAAATAAAAATTAGAGATAAAGAAATTTAATATATATACATTAATCAAGATTTTGTACTATTATATATTAAAATTTCTGTTATTATTATTATATACAATTTTTAAATAAATAGGTAATAACAAACTATTTATTTAATTTTATAGATAAATATTAGTTATTTGATAGGTGGGGTTAAAATATTGCTGAACTGTGAAGCAATTCAGATAATATTTTAATACTCCTATCAAATAATTGTGTTATTCTGCAGCTGCCAATAATTATCTAGGACCCCGGATATCTCTAAAACAGGTCATAAGCCACACTTTTGGCAGATTGGCCCATTTTTCAGGGCTCAAAAAATCGTATTTTGTAAATATCTCGGCATCCAGTGGTCTAATTTTGATGAACTTTTTTTTAAATTGTAGAGCTAAATGAGGGCTACAAAATAAAAAAAGTTCATTAAAATTGAATCACTGGATGCTGAGATATTTACAAAAAACGATTTTTTGAGTTTTAGCAAAAAGGGGTGTTTTTGGCCAAAAGTCTATTATGACCTTTATATTAGATATCCGGGGTCCTGATTATCTTATAAATACAATAAACTATTGATTAAACAACATTAAAAATATCAATAATAATTATGCAATAATAGTTTATTTATAGCTTAATAAAAAAATATCAGTATGATAAAAAAAGTATAATCCTATTTGTAAAGCTCTAAATGGTCCAGATTGATCTGGATTGAAAAGTAATCTAGAACTAGACTGTAAAAAATTGCTTCATTTCAGTTTGATTCAAATTATATTAAAAGATAATTCAGAACCAGATCAGACCAGTTATTTAATTCGATTTAATCTGGTCTTATAATAAAAAATGTTGCAAAACATTTTTTTTATAATAATATATTATAAAAAAATATTTTGCAACATTTTTTTATTTAATAATTAAACAATCACAATGGTTTTAATATAAAATTATTGTGAAAACAATTATTTAGTCCAGTCCAGTTCTAACCTGTTTAATTCAGTCCAGATTGGATTTATAATTCAGGACTGGACAGTCTGGATTGGATCAAACTGAATATTTCAGTTTGGATTGTCAGATTAGAACTGGACTGATTAGAATTTTACCTATTTGGCTGTAGAATAATCATTAATGTTTTCCTTTTTAAGTTTCTTTAATTAATATATTTATATAAAGGCTAGAACTATGAAATTTTGAATATATATTCTTTAGAGTTTATTATTATTATATATTAAAATTTCAAGTATTATTGTTATGTATAATTTTGAGTAATTAATAAAAATAAAAAGTTTGCTACTTTTATCTAGGTAGTGTATAACCTTTTAAATATATATGCTAAATATATTTTAATCTGCTCTGTAAGTTTGCTTAAAGCACAAAATAAGATTTTGCCATTTTTTAATTTATTTGCCTTTTTTATCTATTCATTTTTAGATATAATTAGCAAAATCTTTTACTCATATGTAAAGTCAAAACAGTATACTTTTTTTATAAACTTGTATTGTTTTTCTTGTTAACTAGTTAAAAATTGATTTCGGGTAGCAGATATGTGTACCCGATATGACATATGTGTAGTAAAAATGCAGAAAATCGGGTACCTGATATGTGTAAGGATGTACTTATTTTATGATTTCTTGATATTAATCTTAATTTATAAAAAAATTAGTCCGTATATCTAATCACGTGATTTACCGCTTTAGACGTTTATGGTAATATCCCAGTAATAATTTATTTTGTAATCAAAAAACCCTAATATTATTGGATAGTAATGATAAAATATAAAAATCACTATAATCTACAAATCAAAATGTACGCGTCCTGCATGTAAACATTTGTCATAAATCGGCTTATTTTTCCTCAAGTGAACTTGGACAACTTGGACAGCAAGAATGAGTTCTACAAGAGATAAACAATTACCAAGGTTTTTGAATAGTATGATATTATAACGCGGGTTTATCCCTTTTTATTTGGATTTTATGTTAATGTTTTTATTTTAATAGACTTATATCACCGTCTGCTTTACGGCGTTCAACAACTTTTTCAACTAAAGAGAATATGCCCAAATCAACTCAAGTAACAGCAAGAAGAGCTACTCACCTTCCCGGAAATAATGGTAATAATACATTGAACCGACCAAAGTCTACTACAATTAAAACACCCAGCATTCGCGCTTCTGCAACAGCGAATCAGCCAACAAAAAGGTAAATGTATAAATGTTTATTTATTCATTTAATCTCTTCAATGTTGAATTAATAATTGCGTATAACAGGAATGAAACTCTTACTAATGCGAGAAAAGGTGCTTCAAGTAATGTGAAATGCAAGGTAATTCGGTCGTCAACTTAGTAAAATCCGTAGTATTGGACAAATATTTATTTTTTTTCGTTCATAGCCTTCGCTTGTCAAACCTGTACCACTATTCTCATTAAACGTTTCAAAGAATAAAATCCTTCAGCCATCTCAGAGTACTTCTTTGACAAAAAACAATGTTTGGTCAAAAACTGCGGGGCCAAGGATTAAGACAACTGGCAGTTCACAGAAAGATAAAAACAATGTTTCAACAGACACAAAACTGCCAACGCGGCTTACGCGCGTTAACCCAAATTTGAATCGACCTTTACGTTCCATGGTTACACCAGCTCAGAAAACACAAAAACCCGTAGCTCGTGGAATATCTAAAATCAACACAATTTCATCTGCGAGAAGGAGGCAAACTGTTGCCCTCAAAGATATACAAGCTCGATTTAAGCCAAATCCTGTTTCTCTTCAAGAAATTTTGTCAAGCAAAACATCACGTGATATGACTATGAAAAGACAATCTTTAGCATCTAGCAAACTCGGTTCAATCAACTCCGCGAAACCTTCCATCGGCTCGTCTCGATCCAGAATGACTTATTCATATCGTGTCGAGGTAGCTAAGCAATCACTTTATATTTATTTTTTAAATACTTTACTAATCAGAAAGTTATTATTTAGAAACCTCGAGAATCAAGAGCATCAATTTTTTCTGGCGCATTACGCGTTCCCAAGAATGGTAATATTAAACGAGATTCTCGGAACACTTTGATAGGAAAGGCGGTGGTATACTAGTTTTTCTTTTTTTTAAATTGTTAGAAATTATGTAAGCTAACTTTTATTAAAATACTGAAGTCTAGTCGTACATTATCAACAATTCGTGAATTACCTGTTCATCCTAGTCAAAATAAGCCTGTTAAAAAGTCTGCTAATCAATCACGTGGTGCGTCCCGCTTAACGATGCAACCTGCACAGAGCCTTTCAATATCAGCACTTCGACGTAAGACTACATCCATCATCGGTGAGAAACAAATAAGTGTTACAGGTAAGTAACTTACATCATAAATATTAATGTATCACAATTTTAATTACTCGTTACTTGTAATATTAATTTAACCAAGGTGCAAGTAAACAACAAAACCAATCTGTGCAAAATTCAGCCACAGTACAAGAGGTTCCTTCTATACAACAAATTCCTAATGTTCAACAAATAGAAAATCCTGTTAAAACGGTTGAATCGTTGATAGATCCATTAAGAAGAATGAGTATACACCGATTTTCAAGAAAATCATTGTTGATGAATGAGAACACGTCTTCTCGACCAATGAATACGCAAGAAACAAATATGCAAGCATTACAACGTCGTGTTTCTTTTGTGCCCACCAGTAGTACTTCATCAAAAGTGGTTAATGAAGTTGAAGTTAATCCTAAAACTAGAGGGAATGATAGTCAACATCAGAATACAAGATGTCTGTCCCAAATTAAAGATCAAGTTTCAATCCGCCTATTGAATAATGATCAAGAAACTATCTTAAAATCTGCAGTGAAAATGCGTAATGGAAACTTATTTACCTTAGCTACATCTATTCCTTTGCTGTCAAGTCCAACTGATAATAATGAAAAAGGTGATGTGACGAAGGGATTGTCCAATAACAACAATTTTTCAAGTGACGTTGAGAAAGCCCGTCTATACGAAGAGTTGGAAGAACTCGAGAAACAACTGGAACAAGAAATTTCAGAGGACATGTCAGAAATCTTATAATTTACGAGTAGCAACTAATCTAGTGTCTATCATAGTGGTTCTTTGCTTTTTTTATTATTAAATCTAGTAAATGGATGATTAATATATATATGTGTACATATAACAATGTATATATTTATTTACTTTATATTCTACTCCTAAAAAGGTTATACAAATATTGAAAGTTCTTATTTAATTCAAAATTATTTAAGTAAACCTTCAAGTGATATCACCAGAATGTAAGTACAATTTCACGTGATACCAATTCCACGTATCATTATATATGACCAAAATCCGGTGCGGAACTATAAAAATTACAAGGTTAAATTTATGTTTTAGTATACTTTATAATTAAAGTAAACAATATAAAAACTAAGATAAAAGAAATTAAAAAATATTTTTTTTTTTAAGTTGTGGCTAAACTATTTTAATTCGCAACATCTAATACTTTAAACTAGTATATGGTGAAAAATCCCATTTTGTGAAAGTGTAAATCGGCCGTGTGATCATTTCGCGTTTTTAAAAAAAATGACGCGAAAAATAGCTGAAATACTTGTTTCAGAAGCTTTAAGTCAGTGCGTTTGTTCAAATTATTGGCCAAAATGCTATTTAAGCCAAACGGGTAGATAATCGAACCGATTTATTTTAACTTATAATATATTCGGTTTCCTTCGTTTTGATTGAATTTTTAGTTTGACCGGATTTAAATCTGAAGGTCAAATATCGGTTCCAAGCTCTAGTTGTAAGTCAAGAAAATAAGATAAAGGGCTAAATTATATTTCATTTTTTGCTTTTTTTTGTAATTCTAATTACTTTTTTAAATTTTAATAATTTAAATTATATAGAATCTTCACCCTTTTTTACTAACTCTAAAAAAATTATTTTTTGCAATATTTTAGCATCCAGTGATCCAATTTTGATAAGTTCTTTTTTAAATTATAAAACTTAATTAAAGCTACAAATTGAAAAAAAGTTCATTAAATTGAATTACTGGATGTTAAGAACATTGCATAATTTTAATTTTTAACCTTTTAAAAATGAGCTAATTTGCTAAAAGTGTGATTTGTAACTTGTTTTAAAGATGTTCAGATTATTAATTATAGTTTTATATTATTTAGTATTAGATTCTATTTTTTTTATATTAATAAACTTATAAATGTGTTATGATTAAATAAAAAATTATATAACAGTCATTAGACATATTCCTACTGATTCCTTCTAATTTTTACATATTAACCAGATAAAATTCATACAATAAAAAAATATTATTAATGGTTGATTTTTCATAAAATTTTGATTTGAATATTAAATGACATTAAAATAATATTAAAATAACATCAAAATAACATCAAAATAATATTAAAACAATATAGTTAAGTTAAATTTAATTATATTAATTCTATATTAATTAAAAACTTTAAATTTCTATAAAGACTATATTTTATCAAAATTTTTAATTAAAATTTGAAATTTGAATTATAATAAAATTAATTTGGAATTTAGAATTTGGAATTTAAGATTTGGAATTGATTAATTATGTAAAATAAATTATTATAATAGAAATTCTTCCTTATAGATTTTTAGTTTAAAATTTCTTACAAAAAATAGAAGTCATTTTTTGATAGAAAACTTTAGGATAAATCAATATAGAATGAAAAATACAATAATATAACCAAATTTCATAGTGAAAAAGTAATAGAAATATTAAGAATACTGTTTACTAAACCTTAATATAACTATATAGAACAGTATATAAATCAAGTATTGTAAAGTTTTATATACTGGCTTTATAATAAATTAGAAGAACTAAAATACAATTTACTGATGACTTAAATATATTTAATATTAAAAATATTAATAGTCTTCAAAAATATTATCTTTGTAATTTTAATGGTTTTTAAACAAATTTGCTAGAACTTTTCATAAGAGTTCAAAATATATGATTAATAATATTATGGCTGATATATGATAATGATTTGACAGATAATGATATTGATTTACTGAATACAATAATTTCAAGTTAACTATTATACTAATTACAATTAGTATAACTTTTCACCAAAGTTTCTTCTATACAGTCTGCTTTATTAAAAAGAAAGTATAACTATATAAGAAAAAAATAAAGTAAATCAAATAAAAACTGCTAACTTTTTTATCAATCAAATTGAACTGAAGTAGAAAGTACTTTTTTTATAAATTGAACTTAAAAAAGTATAAAGTAGCAACTAACAAGATGGTAATACTCCATTAGTTTCAAATAAGGATAAGAAAAAGAAGAAAAAAAATAGTTAAAAAAAGGTTATACATATTATTACAAAATATTAACCAATAGAATCTATATTTATATATATTAATGATATAATAATATAATTTACAATATTTTTTGGCCTAAAAAAATGTAGATTAAAATATATGACAATTCAAGTTAAAATCAAAATAAATTAGCAATAAAACTTATTTAGTCTAGATAGCTTTATTAGAAAATATTTTTTAAAAAAATTAAATGTATTTATTTATTATATTAAATGATTTAAATTTTAGTAATAAATGTAAAAAAAAATTTTTTATTAATATTTAATTATAAAATTTTAAATTTAAATAATAGGCATATATTTTAAAAATTATATTTTTTAAAAACTATTAGTTTACAAATTTTTATTAAAAAAAATTATTATTATTTAATAATTTTAAATAGAAAATTTCAAAGTTTACATGCACAGGGTGTTTGAACACAGGTCATGTAAAATATAATGACACCAATGTCACACCCTTTTACTTTTTTTATGTAATGTATGTATTTTTTGACTGCTCTACAATTTTACTTAAGGCATCAAAAGGAGTTTTGAATGCCGTTTTTGACTTATATATGAAAAACTGTCTTTGCCGATCATTTCCTAAATTTTTTTAAGAGCAATCGGCAAAATCAATTATTCATAGGTAAAGTCAAAACTGACATTTAAAAGTACCTTTGATGCCTTAGATAAACTTGTAGAGCAGGCAAAAATCCATTTATCTACTAATTTTGAAGTTTATAATATTAGTCAAAATGGCAATAATTACATGATCCAGATTCAAACACCTCGTATACAAATAGAAATTGCCTTTTAAATAAATTATAAATCTATAATAAATAATTTTTATAAGTTTAAATTTAAGTAATACTAGTATGATTTTTTAAGAATATGGATTCTTTATAATAAAAAGAGGGGAAATTACTAAAAAAATTAAATTTATATTTATATATTAAAAATACTTCAAATATTATAATTTATCGAGAATTAATATTAACTAAAAAAAATTTTTTTTAGCAGTTTCTTCTCTTTCTATTGCAAAGAGCCCATATAATTATTATAAAAATAAAACCAATTAGTTAGATTACTAATAATATAAAATAAAAGTTAAAGTAATAAATAAAATAAATAAAAAAAAATATAATGAATTTTATAATAAAATTAAATTACACTTAAAAGTAATAAAACTCCTATTTTTATTAATCATTCAAATTATATATAATAATAATTTGAAATTTTAATGTAATAATATAATATTTTAAAATATCCATTCAAATTTTACACTTCTAATATTTACATATTATATTATTATTATTATTATTTTTAATGATTTACATATGCTTTATTGATATTAAGTTTATATACTATACAAACAAATTATTATGAGTTATATCCACCTAGTAGGATACAATCATTAAAATACAAAAAAAAAATAATAATAAATGATACTATATCTATTGATTTAAACTATACTGATTTTGATTTAATTTGATTTTTTTGAATTTTATATATTATATTAATATTATATTAATTATAACTTATTGGAAATATTGCTAGTTAAGTAGTTATTTTAGAGGTTTATATTTATGAATATGTAGACTAATTACTAAATAAAATATCAATCTCTATAAGGGTAATTAAAAAAAATATACTATATTAATTAAAAAAAATTTAACAATTATTATACTAGTTAAATAAAATTAGTGATTTCTTTATTTTATTAATTAATTAAAATTACATATAATAATAAATGAAATTTTAATATGTAATAATAGATTTTAAAGAATACAATATTAAATTTTCATACTTCTAATCTTTATATAGCTGTATTTTTCTGATAATTATTAAATTAAAAAATGAAGATTTAAATAAAATTTTATTTTTTTAAAATAATTGTTATTTTTTAAAACTATTGCCTTCAAATATACAAAAAATACATTTTATTATATAAAATTTTGAGAAAATATGAAAGTACAGTATTATTATTTTAAAATTAATTTTCTTTTGATTTTTTTATAACTTACAAATAATAAAACTAGAAAAATGAAGTTTTGTATATATATATTAACCAGAATCCTGTATTATTACATATTAAAATTTGTAACATTACTATATACAATTCTAAATAAACTGTCAGTATTGAACTATTTGTTCGCTTTTATATATAGATAATTATTAAAATTTCTTTTTTTTTTAATTAAAATAGTTATATAAAGGCTAAAACTGTGAAATTTAAATATATGTTCTTAAAAATCTATGCAATGTATAATTAACAAAAAATAGGATTCCCTCTACTTGTGTATATAGTGTATATAAGTTTATTGCTCATAAAAAAAGGTATATTATAAAGGATTATTTTATTAGTATAAAATTTAGATTAAGTAATATTAACCTAGATATAGAGCTTTGCTCCGATTCAATTCCGGGTAAACCGGAAAATTTTCCGACGAAAAAAATCATTTACCAATTTAATTTGGGTGGGCATTGTTCAAATAAGATATATATAGATATTTGTAAAACATAGAAAAAGCATTTGTGCCACGGTCTCACAGTTCGTGTAACGTTATCCATTTGACGCTTTATTTAGTCAGCCTACAAGCTGCAATCCGGTTTTTGTACATGGACGACTACTTTGCTGCCATTTTCCATAAACTTGTGTGCGGCTTTATCTTCTCGTTTCGCAGTGTTTGAAACTCAATTTTATTTACTTTCTTTACTGTAAAAAAAAGCTCTTTCATTTTCAACGGTAAAATCAAGAAAAAAATTTAACAATAATGCTACAAAAGATCAATTTGGTTATCATCGTTCTAGACGGTAGTTATCTTCTAGAGGAACACTTTGAGACTATTTTTGAGGCTTATCTTGAGCCTATACTCAAGTAAGTAGTGAGAATTTTTTAAAATTTCTAATACATTGGAAAGTCTTCTATGTAGTCATTTTATTTATTGTAGTTATATTAATAATTTAATTTTACCAAAATATTTTTCAGACATATGAAACAACAACAAATTATAATAGAAAAAGAAGATAAAGAAAAAAAGGGAGAACCAGAAAAAAGCAAAATCACGGTAAAATTAATCATTTAACTCTTTCACTTATCTCGTCTTTAACAGAACAGAAGTTGCCAGGTGTAAGTTCTCCTAGTGGAATACTATCATACCAAATTGTAACGTTTTAATTTTATTTTAACATAGCCCAAGTTGAAATGTGGTCTTGTTGTTTTTGGGAACTACGAACCTATTTCGCGGTCTCCAGTCACAACATATTATTTTGGAGAAAACTTATCAGAATTCGAAAAGCTTATAACCGGCATAGAATTCGAAGACGGTGGTATGAGAGAAAATGCAGTGGCTGAAGGTTTAGTTGCTGCGTTAGAGGTAACTAGCTTGATAAAATTTTTTTTTTCATTATTATATTATGTGTTAATAACGTATTTCCTTATAGATGTTTGATGCATACAAAAGTCAAATGAAGCCCGAAACATCTGAGACCGAAATAATAAGACATTGCCTTCTTATATCTAACAGCCATCCATGTCCTGACCTTGTCCATCGAAATCTTGATGAAAAATACGATCAATATTCTATGAAAAAAATCGTAGAGGAGATGAAAAACGTATGTAACATGAGGCTTCCTATACTGATTGAATTTTGGAATTAATCAAATGTGTCTAATGTATATTATTTGATTTAGCAAAAAATTCATCTCTCGTTGATAACCCCAGAAAGAAATTTTACGGAATTAGAAGAACTTGTAACAGAGGTATGAATTTGTATTATATATTAGATTTTGTTAATTTTACTTTTGTATTGTTTTTCTTAATGATTGCGGGAATGTAATAATTAAAGGTTAACCAAGGCGTTGAGGTTCACAATGCCACAGATGTAGTAAATTCGTCTCATATAGTGAAGTTAGCAGGCTTTAAGCCTCCCTTTACACATCCAAAAGAAGGTGAATTGATTGAATCATATATATTCTAAATTTATACATAGTTGTAATATAATTTAAATTAACCTTTTTTCTAAAAAAAAAACATAAATATGGTCAAAAATAATATAAATTAGTACCTATAGCACAAAAGAGGAAGCGAGAAGATTCGACGAGTTCCACGGGTACTAATGACCAACAATTATCGTCTGCTCAAAATCCGGGTAATGAAGCCAAAAAAGTAAAACTCGAGCAGACACTAGAACTTCCGAAAGATCAACCTCCTATTACTAGTAGTCAGTTACTCGGTCAACAGTCACAGGCTTTTCCAATAATCAAGAAGGAACCTATTCAGAGTTCTCCCGGACAACAGTCAAGCAATCAGCAACCTGTTACTAATATGACGCAAACACAGGCTACACCTAAGTTACAGACGCCGGCAGTTTCAACTGTCGTAACACCAAATACAAACTCTATACCCCCGCAAGTTATACAGATTACACCGAATGTACTTGCTCAAACACCACAACCTATTAAAATAACTAGTCAATCTGCCCCAAACAATGTGCAAATGCAATCACCCGCTCCTGCTGGAACAATGTCTCGTCCCCCTCAGCGGCCCACATTTACATCGCAGCAACCAATGCCTGGTTCTCAGATGTTTGCTCGTCCTCAAAATATGCCTGGAGTTAAATTTCCACAATTACATGCACAATTACATGCACAATTAGCTTCAATGACACCAGAAAAACGTGCTCAGTATATTGCTAATTTGACAGCTCAACAACCTCTTCGAAACAATCCTCAACTTAGAAACGCGTTGACTATTAATAATGCACAAATCAGCAATCAATTGCTTCGACAACAAAATACTCTACTTCAGCATGAGTTGGTCGCAAGTCAACAAAATCTTGCGAATGTTTTGGGTAGAAATCCTCAATTAAATCTTGGGCTTCCTTTACAAAATGGAATAAATATTGGCCAACAACACTTTGTAACTTCGGCTGCTCCTATAAGTGAAGCGGTAAGTACACAAGCTCTTAATGGATTTGTTTCGTCGGCCGCTTTAAATGCAGCTACTGCTCAACAGCTTGGTGCATTTAACGCGTCGACAACTCCTACGAGCAATTCAGTTAGCGCTGTTGGTTATACTACCGCATCAACATCTGTTGGCACAATAAATACACAATTTGGAGGTAACACTACTGCTACGAATAGTGCACAATTGCCTGCATCTACTATGAATTCTATATCCACTGCTGGTATGACAGGACAAACTGCCAATGTGACTACCGGAGTTATAGGACAGATGGCAAATGGTGGAATTCGTCCTAATATGCCTCAAAAAAAGATTAATGCATTATGGAGTGGTCATATCGCATGGTCAGCCAACAATAATCAAGGACAAAAACGCGAGCTTACTTGTCAAGTATCTGCTTTCCCAGTTCCTACCAAAAAGACTGCACCGCTTTCACAAATTGATTAGTGAGTACTATTTTGGGTTATATAATATAAAAGATTAAATTTTATTAATATTTATTTAATTTAAAAAGTATGATTTCATGCTGGCCAGAGAAAATGGAAATTTCTGGCATTAATCATGCTAAGGATGTTATAAGTAATGCTAGTGCAAATCCAAAGATTGTATCATTTTTGCCAAATCCTACAAACCCCACGATCCAGGAAAATAATAATACTTTTGGAGTTTTGATGCGAATTTTGGAAGGGAGAAAGATGGTAGGTAAAAAAAAATGGATTTATTAATTGATTATAAATAAATATTAATCACTTATTGTTAATTTAGGCTGCTTTTGTACGCTTTCCTAATGCTCCAAATCCGAATGGGGGTATAGTTCTTTTCACTAATAATGGGCCAGGCAATGCAACAAAACTTGTTGGCTTGCTCTTTTTGGATACACCGTTGCCAACAAGTGCACCAGTTCTTTCACAAGGACAACAAATTCGACCTCCACAGGTAACAGCACAGCAAAATGCTTTACAACTATTACAACTTCAACAAATGTTGAGATCACAGCAGCAGCAGCAGCAGCAGCAACAACAACAGCAGCAACAGGCAATGCCAATACAAGCAACAGCTTCCGTTATACAGCAAAATGTTCTTCAACAAAAACTTGCGTTACAACGACAACAACAACAACAACAACAGCAAATGGCTAATTTGCCAGCAAATATGCAACAAATGCTTCAGCAGCAACAACGACAAGTTTTACAGTCTACTATGTTACAAAATCCACAGCAGTATCGAATGCAACAGTTATTTCAGTCGGCCAGAAATGCTAATCCTGGTATGTTAGATTATTTGTTATTTTATTTTTACAATACTTTTTCTGTTCTTAAATAAATAATATTCCTTATTTTATGTGTAAAGGTATTACTCAAGAACAAATGATGGCCTTATTGCGACGGCAACAACCGTCTCAACAACAACCAACTCAATAAAAATATTAGATATTTTTTTTTAAAGAAGTGATTTTCATCATAAAGACATTTGGAATAATTTTTGACGGAATTTTGTATTTGTTACAACACCAAAAAAAAAATTATATATTAGCAATGGTTAATTAACAGTTGTAATAATAATCTTCCCGTTGCTATTTTTGTAGTTTATTAGATAATAGTGTCTTAATATATATTAACTAACCACCCATGATAGTTATTAGTAATGGTTTATTACATATTAAAAAAAAACTTTTATATTCTTTTTATAAAACAAAAAAAAACCAAAAAAAAAACCAAAAAAAAAGTGAATATTTTCTGATATACATTTATCATTACAATGTATATTAGAATTATATTCCTGTAAAAAAAACCGACTTTCTTTTTTTCGATTTTTGATTTTATTATATTTTATTTATGTTAGAAAAAAATTTTTGTTTTATAATGTAATTAAAAAAATTACTTTTTATATTTTATTTTCAATTTTATTCAGTCTTTCTTTAAAATCTTTATATAAAGTTTATCTTATAATCGGAAATTTCTCTTGTATCGAATATCTTATTAATAAAGTCATTCATTATATGAAACAAAATAAGTTTATATTAATTTTTTGAGTATGATTAAATGCTAAACTCCAAAGCAGTTCTTGTGATCTAATAAAATTCACGAAGTTGAATTATTTTGATTAAATTTATTAATATCTGTAACAACAATTTGAGCTCTTTCAAGCCTTGACAAGTTGGCAGATGTAGACTAGAAACAATTGAAGTGAATGATGTTAGAAATTAATAATTTAGCGTTTGAAACATTATGAATTTACCTTTTTCAATTCTGTTAATAAAGCGAGACTTCGATCATAAGTTTGAATAACGCGTTCGGGAAATCGTTCATCTTGTAAAATAATGTTTTGGAAGCAAGTTAAAACGCGTTTGCGAAAAAAAATAAATTCTTTTTAACCAAATAATATACCATCAGCATCTTCGGAATCAATTTGCATATCACAAACTTCCACATCATCAACAATTTCGGCATGATTTTTCATAAAAGATTGTAATATTAAAATATCTTCAAACTTCTTCTTAATAATTTCAGGTAAATTACGTCGTTTTTCTGTTAATGTTAATGTCATATCGTCAATATTTGATTCTAATGATATTAAATTCGATAAAAGATTTTCATCGAATGGCTCAACATCTAATTACAGTTGATCAATGGATTAGTATAGTGAGATGAAATTAGAACTACAATACAAATAATGACACCTTTTTCTTCTAATGCTTTATCATAAGCCATTCCATTCACTTCAAAATTTGGAGAGCATAATTTAAACGTATCATCAACCCACTGATAAAAAAACAAATTAGTTATTATGTATATAATAATTTCTATTATAACCATAAATTTGAATGATAAATACTTTTGTAACGATAGAAGTAACTTGTGATTTTAATTCATCATCTGTATCTACATCAAAATATTTTTGTATGTAAGAAGATATTGAACATTTTATTCCATTTTGAATATATAATATGTCCTTTATATCATCTACTTGTATTTTTGGATGTTCTCTTTCCATCACGTTAAAATTACAATTTCTCGGTAGGAAATTATATATTATTGAAAGAGGAAAACGAAATGGTGTACGCGAACTCAGTTTAAAAAAACGCGAAAATTTTTAGAAAATCACGTGGTTCGATATTGTAATTGATTATCAGGTTTTTGGACTTTTTACGCTTTCATTAAATTCTGCACATTAATAAATGCGTAAAACTTCATTTATAGCAAATTCCTTATTTCTCAAAAGATTCATTTATAGCACAAGAGTTTACTTCAGCTTTAGTAAGAACTCTTCAATTTCTCCAATTTCACCATTACCTTATTTGCTCTCATCTTCAGTACGTAAATTATTGCATTACAAAATAATAACGCGCAATAAAAAATGGAATTATGAAGAAGATAATATACTTTTGAGAAGAGTAATAAGATATGGGTGGAAACATTGGGGAATCATATCACAGGGTTTTACAAATAGATCTTCTTTAGATTGTTATTATCGTTATAGATACGGTCTAAAATATTTAATAGATTATTCTTATATTAATCAGTCATCAATAATGTCATTGACATTAAAAGAACAACAACAATTTTGGAAAAATTTAAGTAAAACAAATAACTTAAAACAAACATTACAATTAAGAACAAACTCTTCATCATTATTGAAAAAGTATTTTATTGATATGCAAAAATTTTCAAGAGAACAACAACAATTATCACCAGTTAATTATAATTCAGTTTTACAAATCAGTAAGAAAATTAATGAAAATAATGGTGTTACAAGAAAACCTTGGACGAAGGATGAAACTAAAAGATTAGTATATTTACTATCTAATTACGCTTCACTAGATAATCAATTACTTTTCTCCCGTAATTCCTGTAATAAAGGAAAAAGTACTATGTATAATTGGAAATTGATTAGTTCAACCTATTTTCCTAACAGGACTTTAAACGATGTTAAAGATAAGTGGCATAATATTCAAACAAGAATTCCTTGGACAAAACAAGAAGATCAGATTATTATTGATGGTGTAAAACAATTTGGTGAAAAAGATCAATGGGATAAAATTGCTTTGAAAATTAACTCAATTGCTCCTAATTCAACAATTTCATCTGATTTTTCTTCCTTGCTAACATCTGCTGTTAGATCACCGAGTCAATGTATGGTTAGATGGAGAGATACTTTAAAACCTTTGCAATCAAAGCAAAAAAAATTTTCTGAATTTGAACATTTAATCTTAGTAAAAGCATTAAAAGAAGTGTCTTTAAAAGGTAATCAAATTGACTGGAAATCCATTCATCAATATTATCTCCCGAATAGAACTCCGTTACAACTATATAAGCATTATTATAACGTTATATGTAAACCCGCTAAATGGAACTTACAAGAAGATGAACTTTTACTTAAGACTATCAAAGAATATTGTCATCAATCAGAAGCACAAGAAAATTCTCAAGAGACCTTTCCCCTTTCTTTGAGGGATAATGATGTATGGAAACGAATTGCTCAGAATATTCCTGGTAGAACTGCAATTCAATGTAGAAATAGATATATAGATACACTTAATCCTTCTTTAAAAAAAGGTCGTTATACAGCAGAAGACCATTTTCAATTATTTATGTCAATTAAAAAGAATGGTCATAGATGGTCTTTAGTTGCAAAAGAAATGGGTAGATCAAAAGTTGCTATTGCTAAATTATATAGTATATGGAAATGTCGTAGGAAAGTTTCAAGGATACGTATTAATAAAGGGGGTATAAATAGCATTTATAGTAAGTTATTGAGCCACATTTAAGACTTTACTTCTTAATCCGTAAAATATTTATTTTTTTTTGTACATACATACACATAAATAAATAAATTAAATAAAAAATGGTGAATGACGTGAATAAATGTAAAATGTAAGATGATAAATTTAAATAAATAATGAAGATGAGTACGAAGTCTAAGTATAGTACAAGAAAGATGAAAAGGTAGAATGATTTTTTATATGATGAATCTATAGATGTATAGATGATGATTAGACAAGTTATATAACATTGTATATAACTAAATGAATATATTATTGTAGAGATCATAAAAAATAATGATATTAGTAACGTGTTTTGTCCACTGAATCGTGTTCTAATTTATCCAAAATTTCAACGATTCCTCTAACAAGTTTAGCTTTGTCTTTTTCGTCATCCTCATCCAATTTCCCTGCTAAATTAAGTTTATTATTTTGAACAAAAGCCGAATTGTTGCTATTATTAACGTTAGTATCCAATCGTTCATAAACTTGAGCTAAACAATTTTCCAACAAAAGTTTCAATTTATTCATCGATTCAATTATTTTACCATTACCACAAAATGTTAACCATTCATCAATTGTAAGTAAAAGGCTATCATTTTGTTTAGTTTCACCTCCAAATAAAATAACTGATAATGGATCAATCCTTGTTGTGCTACGAAGATAAATTTGTTTCCCACTTTTCTTGATCTTTGTTGAATATGCATAAAGAGTTCCTATAGGTGCAAATAAACTTTCGTCTGATTCGCTTCCTATTATTCCATTACCAACACGGTAATTTCTCGCTAATTTCGCTGCTCTTCCTTTATAATTCACTGATGCCGGATGAATAAATGTGATGCTCTCGTGTCGAGTTTGGTAAGTTTTCTTTGATGTCTTCAAAGAAATATTTGGATATACTCCTGCACAAATTAATGACCGAAGTAAAGGAAGGCAGTTTGAATTCAGATTATATTCAGGTGGTCCCAACGCAAGACCTCTTGGTTCACCATAATCTCTTTGCGGATAATGTTTTGGTACAACTCCTGCACGTTCCAAAAGATTTAATAATTGAATTTTAACTTGTTCGATTGTTTGTAAACCAGTTCTATTTAAGAAATTATCAGTGCAAAACTTATTAGCTTCGTGATAATTTCCTGATGATTGAAGTTCATACCAAGCTTTATAAGCATTTAATATAGCAAAATGATCACTTGATAAACCTTGAGCCCAATGTACTTTAATTTCATCAGCTCGATCTTTTGCTTGTGGAGGTGATAAGAACGGACTTTTTGATGATATACAAGCTGCGATTGTTAAGATCGGATCCAAACATTGAAATATTGCTCCCAAAAGTACCATTTTACCCAAACCTGGTTCCATGGGAAGTGTAGCTAAAACTTTTCCTAGTGGAGTCAATTCTTCCGCAGAATCTAACGCTTGCAATGATTTTAAATTTTCTAAAGCTGCTGAAACACTTGCATGATCTGGTGGTTGAATAGCTTGTGCAAGAACATCACCAATTGAAGCTGGAAGATCAAGTGCCTTAATGTGAAGACAAATTTCTTGTAAATCAGATCTCAACATTTCCGGTGTGGAATAACCTTCAAGATTTTGATATCTAGCACGTGACATCATTACATAATATTCTCCTTCGCGCACACGACCTGCTCTACCAGAACGCTGACGTGAATTTGATTGACTTATCCAAGTAGTAACTAGATTTGTCATTCGCTTAGATGGATCATATCTTTTTTCTTTAACCTTGCCAGAATCAATTACATGCACAACGTCTTGAATTGTTATAGAAGTTTCTGCTATATTAGTAGCAAGAATAATTTTTCTCATCTTGGGATTTGGTAAAGGTTCAAAAACTTCTTGTTGTGATAAAGATGGAAGTGAAGAATGTAACATGTGAATACGAAAACGTGATTGATCGGAAAAATCAATACCAAGTGGATAAGGAGAAGTTGTTAATAATCGATTAAGAGCCATAATTTCTTCCCAACCGGGTAAGAAAACAAGTATTGCGCCTTCTTCTGTTGTATGAACAATATGAGCGATTACTAAAGAAATTAAATGATACGGAATTTCTGCATCGATTTGTTCATCACTATGCTTTCGTTCAATAAATCCTCCAATTGATGAAGTATCATTATCATCGATTTCACTGCTATGGCTATCAATTTCATCACTATCTATATCCATTGTAAGATATTTTTTCCCTTGTACTGTGCCCTTTGATGAAACAAATTTTGTAGGTGGAAGTTTTCTTGGTTGAAATTTCTTTTCACGATCAACATATTTCGACGTTTCATCATAGTCTAATTGAGGAGGTTTATAAAAATCTCGAAGCTTCAATACAAAATCATCTATAAAATATTGCTGAACAGGATAAGTTTTTCCCGGAACTCGAACAACAGGGCATCTTCCATTAGAGAAGAAATCACCAAAGTATTCAGCAAAAATCCCCGTGTCAATTGTAGCACTCATTAAGATTAATTTTATTGGAGGAAGTTTATTACGACGTCTTTCGTGAAGAATCCTTTTTAAAATAACTAAAAGAAAATCAGCATTCATATCTCTTTCATGAACTTCATCAACAACAATATGAGTAACTCCTTCTAGTACATCTTTTCCATTCTTTTCTTCATGCATTCTTCGTAGAAATACACCCGTAGTACAATATAAAATACTTCCAGCCGAAGCTGGCATGACGCTTTCAAAACGAACTTGATATCCAACAGAAAGCCCAAGTCTTTCGGAACGTTCGTAGGCAACTCTTTGCGCTACCGAAATAGCAGCAATTCTTCTTGGTTGAGTGACGATAATATTACATCGAGCTCCTTGATGTTTAATAATTTCTTTTTCAAATATCAATTGAGGTAATTGTGTTGTCTTTCCACAGCCAGTTGAACCAACAACTACAGTTACAGGATTACTTTCAATTGCATCCAATATAGGATTAGTATAATCACTGATTGGAAGCCGAGAACGATTAGAACGAAGTTTTTCAGTATTGGTAGATTTAAGATAATCTTGATAAACTTTAAAAAGACGTTCAGATTCTGTGTCAAGGATACTATTTAATTGTTCTTGATTAATACTTCCTTTCTTGTTATCTGTTTGATCCAAATTATTCTTTTCCACCTTTTCTCCTTTATTTGCGATGATATCCTTATCTTTTCTTTGAAACATCTTAGCTTGTTGCAATTCCGAAACTAAATTGTTTAATGTTTTGTATGTTTGGTTGCTCATTTGAACACTTATGTATGGAGCAGGTTTTGGGGTAGAAGCATCTTTTGTTTTTGATCTATCATTTTCAAATTTTTCCCAAAGATCAGGAGAATCCTTACGTAAAGCAATAGCAGCATCTAAATAAGCAGAAGTTTGAGCATCACGTTTGTTTGATCTTTTACCGGTACCAATAATATGATCATCAACTATTAGTGAAGCCTCCCACTTCATGCTATGGCCGGGTCCTATACCTTTACAGCTAAATTCAGGATTTTTAAATTTAAAATATTTACAATAAAATTTAATAAAATCTTTTGCTATATCTTCTGACATATTATTTTTTTCAGAAAGTGATGGTATTTTGCCGTGTAATGCTTGATATTCTTCAGCTTTTTTCTTAAAATCTTCGGCGGCCAATAATTCGGCTTCTTTTTTTGTTTTAGCACGACCACGGCCAACTATATCTTTTGGTAATTCTACTACAGCTTCCCACCATAAATCGTGATCGGGGCCGATACTGTTTAAGTTATAAATTGGCACATGATCAAATATTGCACAATACTCTATAACATATTTCTTTGGGTCAACCTCCTTTCCAGATTGTAATTGAGATGATGATTGTTTTTTAATAGTAGAAGAATATTTTTGAACATTGCTAATTAACCCCTTTGATTCAATCTGATAACAAGCATCCAAGTAAGAAATTTTTTCCGCGTCTTTTTTAGTTTTTGCATCACCACGACCAATAATGATTGAACCATCAATTTCTAAGGTCAAAGTAGCACGATGCAATTTATTATCATCAGGTCCAAATGATTCCCAATTAATTGGTGTTCTAATTAAATTATTAAGAAAACTTTTTGGGGATTTTAACCAAGATTCATTTTCATGTTTTGAATTAATATTATATTTTTTATCGATGTAACTCATGTCATAAATTAAATCGGGCAATGGGTTAAGATTTAAAGTTTTTTCTCTTTTAGCTGAGCGATTATTTGTAAGAGATTTGCGATTATTAACATGATCGGGTTGGGATCGGTTAATATTAATGTCATTATTGATTACAGGAGTAAATGCTGAACGAGGTGAAGTCATTGTTGTATATGTAATATCCATATTATTTTCTCCACCAATTGATTTAACAGTATTACTGTTTGCCGAAGAAGAACTATATTCAACGTGGCTATATTTTTTAGAGGAAATAGTTTCAATAGGTGGCATTGGAGATAGAGGCCGTTTTTTAGTATGAGCCATGTTATTTGAATTACTCGCTTGTTGTTGATTATTAAAAAATACGGAAGAAACATTTCGATTATATGGTTGAGAATGAGTTAAACGAAAATGACTCTTTTGATAAGATGATCCTCTCGTATTATAATTATTTCCCTGTGCAGTCGACTGAGATAAATGAACAGGAATGAATTGATTATTATATTCATGATATGACAAAGGACGCCTTTGATTCGGCAAGGAAGATTGAATAGCTCCAATTCCAGTATTTCTTCTACCGTTCTTCCAATTATCTTGATTCTGAATATTTTGATTACAGTAGTATGTTGAATGTGCCATTTTCAAATTATGTCCCGATTTAGATAAATGATTATGAAATTCTTTGTTTAAATAACCTTCTTGAAGATGATTATGTTTAGGATGAATTTGTGGAGGTGATATATTATTATTAGTTTGATTACTTGAATAATTATTACAAGCGATATTATAAGAACTTTTCTTATCCATTTAAAATTAAAAAGTTTTATTAATAGTTAGAAAGACAATGTCAAGATACTAAGACATGTATTTAATATTTATTCATTTTAATTTATTAAGGTTAAATACAAGAAGAAATGAGAATGAAATTTTTCTCTTCGTATATTATTTCTTTTCTTTCTTTGCTTCTTTATTTTATACAAAAAAAGAAAGGAAAAAATATATATAAACGAAAATATGTAATTTATAAAATTATTGTTTTTTTTTTTGAACTAGTGAAAGTTTAAAGGAATGAAAGTTTATAAGGTTTTTATGAATGTAGGAAAAAAAAGAATGTTACAAGTGAGAAAGAAAAACTAAAATTGTACCAATACTTGATATAGAAATTTATTAAACATACCGCGTTTTTTTTTTTTTTTTGATTTTAAATCTTTATGCATAACAAATATACTCACAATGTATAGCACTACGTTTTGTACTGCAATTGTTACCTTAATTTGGTTTCAGTTAATATTATTCAACTATACCGGATATATTTATATTAACAAAATTGTTTTTGATTTCGTTCAATTTGTTACACAATTTATAAAATTTTTCCTGATACATAAATGTAATTTAATAAAACATTAATTTAAGTAAATTATTTTATTTGATATTCAATAAAATATACAATAAAAAAATGAATAAGGATTGGATCTGGTTTGTAGACGAATCATCTGCCAAATCTAAGTTATAAATTATATAAATTAGGAAAAATACTGTACCTATCATAATTGAATATTTTTTTTAAGTAAAAATGAATTTCTGACATTTCTGTCTTATAAAATACAAATTACAAATTTTTCATTATGATTATGCGGAAAATTTATAACTAAAAATTAATCTTGTAATAAAATCTGGCAAAATTAAATGTGTATAACAAATAAAAATATTTTATAAACAATTAAATACTTTTCATGTTTCGTCTTGTGATTTGGCTTAAAGATACAAATACATTGTTATTAGTTAAAATTTACATGTATTTGCAGATTTTTCGTTTATCATATATATGTATATTTTTTTTTATTCGTTTAATAATTTTATACAAAGAAAGAAAAAACCCGTTTATATTTTTTTAAGAATGATTTAATCTATGGAAAAAATATTCACTACCAAAGAAAGAAACTCTAGGACGTGAAAAAGATTTACAACTATGAACATACCTGGCCGAAAAAAACCAGCAAAACTAAATTCTATTATTTCTTATATAGTTTTCTATTATTATGATCCCATTCATCCGCAATAAAAAATTGAGTATTAGAACCTTAATTCCTAATATAAAGTCTCTTTATAAAATCGTCATCTCTTTGTTTTTTTTTGTTTTAAAAAACTATTTAATATTAAATATTAAAAATGAAATTTTTTTTATTGTACGATTTTAATAATAAAATAAACTTACCGGGTTATTTCTAGTCTTATTCAACGCTAATTTTAGCCTTTTCTGGTAAACTATCCAAGAAATCAAACAAAATCTCTTTTGGTAATGACCTGAAGCCTTGCGTTTTGGAAACTGGACCGAAATTAGTGTTAATATATCTCATGGATCTTTTCTTTAACGCATGAGCCCCAGCAACTGAAGCACAATGATAAATTTTAGCAACATTCTCTATACTAATATTCTCTTGTAGACGAGCACAACAAAGTGATGTCAAACGCGGAATAAGATACATATTACCCAATATCATAAGGTCCGCAACCGTATAAATTGGAAGTTGTCGTTCGATAATATCTGTATAAAGGTAATAAACGAAAGCCTGAACTATTGCATAAGGCTCCGGAATTGTTAAAGTTGAATTAAATGATTCCGTCATTCCTGAATTAATCATATTGCCGAAATGAGGCCACCTAGCAAGTAGGATAATTCGATGAACATGAATGATAGGACCATCTTCATTAGATTTAATGATAAAGTCCGAAGTGGTGGAATCATTCAGTAATTGTGCAAAATCCAACCCAATCGTTGGGGGTGGGATTTTTGACATTCCATATTCTTGAAGATCGATTGAAAGGACATTTGAAAAATACTCATCAGATTCTTTTTCATCAATTCCAAATAAGAAAAATCTTGGGCAATTTTCCGCCATAGCGAAATAATGCCAATTTCCTTGTACAAAACGATCCCCATCTTCAATTTGATGCCATTGAAAGGAATCCAAATCTAAAGCCCAAACTCCAATTGAACCTTCTTGCGTTTCAACTTTCAAACTCTGTGTCACAACTACGACTAATCGATTCCAATATATTTGAGCAAAATGTTGACCGTTCATCTCAGGTCCTGAATCACTCGTAATCTCTATCTTTGAAACTTGTTGAGTTTGAAGATCTAGAATAACAAGTGATTTTTCCCTATCCATTTCCTCATTATAACCTCCATATACATAAAGGCGATTCTGATAAATAAACGAATCGTGCGAATGTCTTGGAATCAATGTAATTGGTTCTTCCCATGTCCATGTTTGCAAATTTAAACAATTAACATCAGGTGACACTGAATTCCTTTCCTCTTCGCTATTTGTATAATACCCTCCAACTATATAAAGTTTATCATTATATATGGAAGCTGAATGCCTTGCACGTCCTAACGGAACATGTCCATCTACTTCAGGGCGTTTCCAAGTCATAGTTTTCAAATCCAAAATAACTACATCGTTACAATTTTGATCCTGTTCATCTGTCCCACCAAAAATTATTATTTTGTCTTGATTCCACAAAGAAGCAGAGTGATTGGTTCTCTTTGAAGGACGTGAACCTTTTAAATAAATCACATCTTCCCATTTCATTTCAGATACATTTAACCTATATAAATCATTATAAACTTCATCAGTATATAAATTAAATCCACCAAATACGTAAACGTAATTTGGTGGTTGTTTATCATCATCATAATTAGGAACAACTGTCACTGATGCATTTACTAAACAACTGCAACTAAGTGAAACACCCGTAGCCTTGGTAGGATATGGATTATTGCATGCTGTTGAAAAATATGACGAGCGTCTTAAATCATGTGTAAGGTTGGGAGTCGTAGCAAGGGTAGACGATGACGAAGAAGGAGAAGACGTGTCAAATGGTGAGGACGCTGAATCTGACATCATAGTGTTAACCCTTTTTGATAAATGATACAAAATTTTAACCATGAAAAAGACAACATATTAACCAATTTTTTGAAAAAAAAAACTTTTTTTAATTTTTATCTATAAATTAACAAATCAATGTACCGTAAGTTATTTTGACAAACCGAAAATATAGGAAGTAGCAAATTTATGACTGAAGGAGTACTTAGTTTAACGTGTGTTTTTCGGATCAAAATGAAAAATTTTAACTGAAACTTAAATAAACATTATTGTGTTGGTTGTACACTTTAAGTTACACGAAGAATAATAAAATCGTGATATTTTCCCTATAAGGTAATCTAAAATTTAGAAAAAAAAAATTTTTCGACAATATGAATAACCTAACAAAAATAACTACCAATAAGGAACATTTATTAAACAGCAGTTTATGGTTTTTTAGAAGGGAAAAAGCAGATAATAATGATTATAGCTAAACCATTTAAAATTACAAACTATATTAGGCTGTAAAAGAAATGATTAACAACACTATTTCCTATATTGCAATTGCAAATTTTACAAATAACTTTTTGTCAGTTAGTAACAAATAATAATCCGCATTGGTCTAGTGGTTAGGATCTCCCGCTCTCACCGGGAAGGCCGGGGTTCGATTCCCCGATGCGGAAGATTCATCTAAATTTTTACAATCCCGTGACTTACGCGACACGAAAAATGAATTAAGGGTTTAATATTATTTTTAATTAAATAAATTAAATATTACATTATCAGAGAACAATAAATATTAAGGTAAAGATTTAGCTCTTTAACACAATACAATAATATACTGATCCTTGCTAAATAAAGTTATTATTTTGCTTAAATCTCTTGGCTTTAACGATTCTCGGAAGAGAATTTCATCAACGTGATGTTTTCCATTGAAATATTTAATTAATCTTAAGACGCAAAAGTGAACAATTAATAATAAAGATAATAGGTATCATTATGACTAAGGATAAGATTTTTACGAACCTTTCGAAAAGTGAGACAGTCTCTTTGGGGTGATTCGCTACAAAATTATTTAACCAGTCTCTTTCACTATCTGATGCCTTTTCTACTGGGGAAATTATAGCGGTATCATAACTCGAATTAAATTCGCTATCCCCAGAATTTCTCAATTTTTCCTCATATTCTGCCTGAGTAAATCCCATTTTTATATATCGCGGTACCATAACCAAAATATATGCGTGTAATTGTACAACCAGGTCATTTCTTAACAAGTAGGTTATTGCTTCGAGGTACATTGTACGATGTTCTTTAATGGAATTTACCTGGGGCTTAGGAACAGAGAATGAATCGAGAATTTTCACAAGGTCCAATGCAGGAAAGTGTTGCTTGAAATATTCAATGTAAGTTGGCAATCTCCAAAATTAAGATATGCATGAGATTATTTAACATTTAAAGTGAATTATAAATTATTTAATAAAAGCATCTTACGAGTTCATATCGGCAGTAGGAGAAACGACATAGAGGTTTCGAACACCGATTACATCAATTATCTTGGCCTTTCGCCAATATATCAAGTGTGCTGCAAGTCGGAATATCTGTGCCAAAGAGCAATCCAACACAGTACATAAATCGGCCAATCTATATAAACAAAAGGTTTGTTTTCAAGATCCTGAATTTTGGACAACCTAGATATTATCACATTATGCCATACCGTTGTGTGGGGGTCAAAATTTGTACCAATTGAACCAACGTTGGATTAGCATCTAATGGCATATTTTTTAAGATTTCTTCTGGATCTTCAAGAAGCAGCAAAGTATGATATGGTGCAATAACAGGATAATGAGCATACTCATGTCCGATTATATCATTATCGTGAGTATTAATAGTTGGGACGAGTGGAGGAATTTGTAAAGATAAATCAATATAATCATTTATAAGTATATGTGCAACACAATCATTTGAAATTGCATCATATACTTTTCGAATTGTTCGCGCTAATGAACTTTTCTCCAATGTAATTTCCATTAATTCATCCAAGTTAGATGTACCTATGATTTTGAACATATCTTATTAAATTAATAAATATTTGTTGTATCAAAAATAATATTATTTTTACCAGAATTTTCTCTTAAAGACAATATTAATTCTGTTTCTTTCCCGACATAATCACAACGTAATTGCTCATACCGAAGTGCTGCTGTTAGTTTTGTAATAATATTATTGTAAATATCATCTACTTGTCTACATAACTCCAGTTCAGGTGGTTCAAGAACAAACACAAGATGAAAGAATGTTACATGTAGATGCTGTTGCATAGAATGGGTTGAAGAAGTGATGTCAGATGCAACGCTCGGAGGTATTTGTTCTTCGTTTTGAGCGTCAGATAACTGCTCTTGTAATTCTTCATTATTATCCAAATCTGTGCTATTATCATTATCATCAATTTTTTTTCTTAAATCCCTGTCTCCACTATAAGTTCCTCTCTTATTGGTATCAGCAGTTTTAAGAAAAACTGGTTGACCAACAAAAGTCAAATCATCGATTGAAAGCTGAAATTTTGCCAGGCCTTTATGTCTAGGACAAAATATGTCTGCTAATAATCTAGTTTCGAACCCAAATAATTGATTCATTTCATTACGTTCAATCTCATCATTTCCAGTATTATTATTAGCCTGCTTTTTTGAATTAAAATCATACTCTTCATTATCTTCTTCAAGTCTTGAACGAAATGACCGATTATCAAAGTCTTCGGTTGGACCATATGGCCACGTTATTACATCATTTTCAAGCAAGTCGTCTCCAAATTCTTCATCTAGGTCACTTTCTCTTCTGACTTGTTCAATTTCATCACGTCGTTGAGGAACTTTCGGGTAATGAAAAACGAAATGGCTTCCTCTACTGCTATTAATGACAAGTAGTATTGCAAGTAGAGAATTTACCATATTCAATCTCTCATTGAAAGTTTTTAACGATATTAAATTTTCTAATTTACAAAGTTAAGTATAATATGGAGATAAACTTTAATTTCTTGGTCCGTGCGTACAACTTTAATTTAAGGTTATCTGCATAAAGAGAACGAGATTGGTATCGATTTAGCAATGATTGACCTTAATTCAATTTATAATCTTTAAATTTTTCCCTCCAATTTCTTTCACTAAGCTATAAATTTAGACCGAAATTTTCATTTGTTTAATTTATTTACCAAAGGATTTCGTATTTTCTGCAAACAAATGCAAAAAACGCAATGAGTTTAAATCCAATTCAAGAAGCTTCCGAGTCTACTCGATCGACTCCAACGAATAATTCTTTAAGCACTTCTTCTTCTTCTGCTTCTTCGCTTTCACAAATCCACCAAGCTCCTATAAGTACAAGTTTACCGTCTGTTTCTTCCATTTATAACGGACCAAATGTACAAGCCTCGAATTCCGCTAATAGTTCTAGTATGTCTATGTCCACAGAAGGACAAGGTGGTACTTGGTCTTCAATGGCAACATTTCAACAAAATCAAACTAGTCAAATTCCACAAACCAACCAACTTTATTCTAATTACAGGACATCCCCCTCTTTTTCTAATCGTAGTGGTTTTACTTCCTCAAGTTCTTCGTCATTGATGACACAAAATTCTCAATCATCATTGAATCCATCACATTTTCCACTTATGGAACGATCTAATTCCGCTTCAACAATTAATTCTTATTTTTCTCCTTTTCACGAAAAATCTCTTTCTACAGGTTCTATACAAGTTAATCTAAGTCCGTCTGTATTATCTCAAACAACTTATACACCATCAATAATTTCAACAACGCATAGTAAATTGTATGATTCTGTGAACACTAAGGACCTTGAAAGAATAGAACAACTTGGGCCACATGATACTTGGGGTTCCTTAGTCGTCAAAGTTTTGCCACTGTTCAACGGCGAAGGATTGAAATTATGTATTGAAGATTTAAATGATCTGGTAAGGTAATTATAATAGCCAATTTAAATTACATACTTTTAGAAATTATATATTATGAAAGATAATTTTATTATAATTTATAATCAGACGTTACATGAACGATCGACCATTACATTTGCTTTATGATGATATAAATGAACTTTTAGAGTTAGGAATGTTTACACTTAACGGAAAGCTACGTGGAGTCCCTGATGAAAAACTTGTTTCTCGTTTAGTTGAATTATGGTCCTTTTTCTTTGGCACTGTTATACCTTATTTTGAAGGCGTTTTTCTTCCATTATTAATACAATCTTCGGTACAAAAAGAGAATATGAATATTAGACGTTTAGTACTGATGAGTTTTAGAGATCATGTAATTTTACCTATGGGTGATCGAGTGGAAGGTACTTTATATTGTGAAATTAAATACACATGACCTGGAAGATTTCAAAATTAACTCTCCTAAAATAATTTTTTTCAGATGCATTTAATAAGTTATTCCATGATTTCGATTCAGGAATTCCGGTTACAGATACTGCAGCTCGTATGCTGCAAATGTCTTATATTTTATCTTCCGTTCTTTCTGACGATGATAAACAAAGAGATATGGATCGAATATTAGGAAAATTAAAAAATAATTGGAAATTATTCATGAGACGCAGAGACCGTAGAGGATTTGTAGGCATGTCTCCTTCTAATTCGAATACTAATAATAATGCAGCACAATTGACAACAGTCGAAACTGCAGAAGAAGAAAAATTAACTTTTCCTGTAGATTCGAATGAAACGGAAATTAGCAGCACAGTCACAACTCCAACAACGGCAGCTAATCCTATTGATGGAGTTTCTGCTACTACTAGTCCTGCTTATTGACACATTTATTGAAAAGTCTTTATTTAAATAAGAAATGTTAAACATTGTTACATTTTTAATTCTTTTACATACTTTGTTTTACCCAATTTTCCAATCCATTGGCTACCCATAACTCTTGAACACTTCTCCCTAAAATACCAACCTTGAATACAGTTTTTGGTTCATTTAATCCTTTAACTACTATTTTACCTTCTGCTATTTTAACTTCGGTATTCAATTTTGTGCGTGTCGTCAGCTCTTTTGAGCCATATTTGTTTTTTAATAAACGCACAAGATCGGGTGCTTCAAGACAAAGTAAAGCATTATTTATGGAATTTCTTTTAAATGTCTCGGAAAAGGAACCAGCAATAACAAGAGCAATACCACTTGCTTTAATTGCAGTAGCAGCTTGTTCCCTTGATGATCCACAACCAAAATTGAATCCACCAACTAAAATGTCTCCCTATAAATAAATAAAAATAAATAATACTATACTAATAAATATACTTAAAATACATTCCGATTTATTTATTACCTTGGAAACAATATTTGCAAACTTAGGATCATAATTTTCCATAACAACTTTAGCCATTTGTTCTAGTGTAAGATCATCAACATAAGTATATTTACCGGGATAAATCCCATCAGTATTTAAATTATCCGCATCACAAAATATCAATTCTCCCTTAATTGTTCCCGGAAATCCAGGAATTGTAGGTTCAATAATTGATGATGTTTCAATAGGTTGTTCAGACTGATTAATATCGCAAGTTATTATTGGAGTTTGATGAGCGGGAAAAGTGTATGATGATGTGGACAGGAAAGCTGGACTTACAATTCTACCAGCTACTGCAGAAGCCGCAACTACAGCTAATGTTTTTGTATTTTTGTACATACATTTATTAAAATAAAACTGAAAAAATTATTTATAAACTCGAAAATATAATTAACTAACTAAACTACCTGGTGATGCAAGATAAGCTAACGCATTCGGCGAACCCATCCGACCCTTGAAATTTCGATTGGTTGCAGAAATACCAACTTCGCCATCTTTCAAGAGACCTACACCAAGACCTAATTTTGCAAAAGAAGGAGTGTCACTTTAAGTTAATATTAATTTTAATCGTGATGTAAACTCACCAATACATGGTCCACAACCAGCAGGTAATATCTTTGCTCCAGCATCAATTAATACTTTCCAATCACCATTGGCTTCGGCATCCTTTTGTACTTCACTACTTGCAGCTGCTACGTAAAATTCAACCCCATCCGCTATTTTTTTACCTTTAATAACCTGTGCAGCCGAATGTAGGTCTTCAGCACGTGAATTAACGCATGAAACAAGGTATGCTTTTTGAATTTTAATATCTTGTTTTTCAAGTTCAACAAGAGGCGTTGAAACTTTAACAGAGTTAGGACCAGAGACACATGGAGAAAGTGTCGAAAGATCCAATGATAAATATTTACAATAGTAAGCATTAGACGAAGCGCGTAAAGGATTCTTTTCAATCTTATCAATCCTTTCATTATTAATTCTAGGATGTTTGAATGGCTGTCCTGCTGATATAGGTTTTAAATTTTTATTTTCAAATCTCGTAAGCTCTAATTTTTCAACTCTGTTACGAAGCCACATAATAGTAGTTTCATCAACCGGAAAGACACCAGCTAATGCGCCCCATTCCGTTGTCATGTTAGCAATAGCTAATCGTTCTGACAAACTAAGTCCACGAATTCCTTCACCTGCAAACTCTATAGCACAATTTAAAACTTCATCATTATTAAACATTCCACACAAACTTATTATAACATCTTTTCCCGTTACTCCATCAGGCAATTTGCCTTTGAGTTCTACTTTTACAACAGGGGGAATTTGCCACCAAGTTTTTCCAGTTGCCCATATTGCCGCGGCATCAGTTCGAACGATCGGTGTTCCCAAACATCCAATTCCACCATACATATTAGAATGTGAATCAGATGCTACAGTTAAAGTATATGGGAAGGCATAACCTTCTTCAATGAGAATTTGATGTCCAATTCCCCTTCCTGCAGGGTAAAAGTCTACGTTGTGGAGGTTTGCCAATCTTTCAATTGAACTATATTTTGCTAAATTCTAAGCAAAATAGATTAAAATAATCAATAAATTGATTTAATAAATGGAAACGTGTTATTTATGTCCTCTTACTTTCTCGGATTTATTTTGTACATCATGATCTAAAGTAAATACTGCTTGACTAGGATATTTAAATTTTTGCGCACCTATACTTTTAAACCTGAATAATTTAAAAGGTATATAAAGAATAAATAAATAAAATTAAAAATTAAAAAACTTTAGCAAATACTTCCCAGTGAACTTACTTTGTCATTACAGCAGCAGTATTATCATGAGTCATTACATGCTCAGGTTGAATAGTTACAAAATCTCCACTTTTAACATTTGAACCTGGTGATAAATTTAACGCGTACTTTTGTACAATTTTTTCTATAAGATTTTGATCATTGGCTTCCGTTGCAAAAAAACGATACTGGTAAAAACCCTTATATTTTGTAGAAATTAAAAACTTTCGCGTTGGTTTAAACAAAATTGAACGGGTTAATAGAGAAGGCATAACGACAAACTTTTTTAAGAGGGAGAAAGAGAAAATTATTTTTTAGAATCGTTTTAGGTACTGACACGTTTTTTAAGCATCGTTGTTTCAATTTCTTTGATCGGCATACTATTTTTTTCCCCAAATCTGGCTCGTGCTCACGCGTACTCAACAGTTTAGATTTGTCTGATTTTTTTGATTTTTTGTGTTCACCAACAGGGATGCATACCGGAATTGAACTGGGCTATTTATAACTTATTGATCAGGAAAACCTGTTCATAGTTGATTTTTTGGTCTGCTCAAAATTTATATACGTAAAAAACAAACAATACCAGTCAGACCTCCATACAATCACTTCTACAATCAAACCTCTGTAAGCACCCGATATTTACCTCTCCATAATCACGAATCGGTTATAATCACTAGCCCCGGTCGGTTGCATTTTTCGGTATAAACCATTCTATTGGTGAAACGCGTACCGAAAAAGCCCATCCCCAATTTCTAATTGGTTTCACATTAATGAAATATTATTGATTCATTCAATCTTTGAATAGCAAGAAATAGATGAATTTAAGGCAGAGGATGCATGCATTTTTAAAAAGTATCTCAAAATAGTTCAATGACTTGAATTGTAAACCAGAAAGTAGATTCTAATAACCAACTTTTTACTTGATGAAAATTGATGCTTTCTTTTATTATGTTTAGTTTTTTTTATAATAAAATAATTGCATTGTTAAATAGGACTCATATATAAACAATATAAACAATAATGAATTCAATATTTTTATTATGCATTTACCTTGTTAATTATATCTGATATCAATAGTATATCATATATGATAGCCAAATTTGTAGTATTAGCTAGAATTATAACTTTATATAACGAAATTTTCCTTTTTTAAATTCAAACCAGTGATTTACTTTAATAGCATAATATTTTAAAATATAAATAATGATTATATAAGTTAAATATAGCCAAAGGGTATAACTATAAAGGGAGTTGACTGTATTAATTTCAGCAATATTGACTTTGATTGGTCGCCACAGTGCTTTTTTTTTCAAACTAAAAAAAGCCACAATTTTTTTTTGGTATCAAATGATCAACGTGCGTAGCAGCCGGAGTAATTTTATTACTGCGGCGCAGTTTGTCCAGCAGTATAAAACGAAAGAAACTCTTTCTTCATGGACTAGAGCTAACAAAATGGCTAAGGGTATGCGCAGCAAGATCAAAAGACGATTTCGCGCAATAAAACGACAAACCGTTTTTGCACCAGTTGAAACTGCTCGCACTCAAAGGCTTGCAGCCAAACAAACACAGACTGAACAACAAACGAATTCTTTAAATTCACAAGAACAATCGCTACTGCAACATAAAACAGAAGTTTTTACATTTAGTCCAACAACAGATTTAACCTCAGGTTCGTTATGTTATACAATATTAGGGCTGATTGATCCAGAAATAATTGATTCAACAAACATTGAAGGGTTGATGAATGTGATGTCAAAAGTTGTTAAAGGGAACTAATAACTAAGTTCTTTTTGTAATTTCTTTTTAATTTGCGGCTAATTTCAATTATGCCTCAAGAAGATATGATAATTGATACTGATGCTCCAAAGATCTCTACAAGTGGGCCAAGGAATAGTAGACATCAACAGTGGAAAAGAAAAAAACTCTCAAGGAAAAAGAAACGGAATAGTTTAATACATTTTTAATAATAATCGTTTTTGGTGAAAAAGAGATTGCGTTTTTGAAAAATTAGTTTTTTTCTACAGGGATGTCTCTGGAACCTACGTAAATTCTGTATAAATGCTTGTAAGTCTTGACATTGATAATGCTATTTCACCTTTATTAATTTGATTATTTTAACATTTTTTCTTTTTTTATTTATAAGTATGGATTATGTATTATAGTTATCGTTGGTAATTTTTTTTTATTCTTTTCCATAAAAACAATTTTTCAAATAAAGTAAAATCTAATAAAAGGTTGGCATGAACTAATTAATTAGATTAATAAACTCTTTCTAATACTATAATTAACACTTTATTATATAATATATATTTAAATTTAAAATAAGTTCGTTAATAGCAACATTATCAGGACTAATGTTATACGTATTATTTTTGATAGTGAAAGTATAACCTTTAAAAAATTAATAATAATCGAACCTTTGAAGTTAAACATTCTATATTTCAATAAATGTCTGTTTGTCCAAAACTACAATATTTATACATAAAAATATAACATTATATCACTGATCACTAGTTTTTACTATTTAGAAGTGAAATGATAATAATAATATTTACCATATTTCAAATATTTAAAAGACATCAACACCTTCCATATTAATTCTTAATCTACCAACACGCTCCTCAATGGACGCTATATCTATTCCATCATCATCCTCATTTCCTTGCTCATTGCTACGCAAATATCCATAGAACCATCTTTCTAATAAACTTCTTATTTTCTCTTTTATTGTTTCCGACAATCCTTGATGGTTGTGAGCGATAAGTAACGCTTTAACTAATCCTGAAGCTGCTAATTGATCAGCATATGCATTTTGTGAAGGTGGAGGAGGAGAAGAACTGGACATATCACCAACTGAAAGAATATTAATTAACGTGTCAATAAGTTTGTTCATTATCTCTTGAGGTGTTGATGGATTACGTAAATGATGAAGAAGAGGAGTAAGGATATCATATTGTAAGATTAAGCTATTAAAAGTTGTAAGAAATTAGATAACTTAATTAAATTGGCACCTCAAAAAAAAATAAAAAATAAAAAAAAGCATAATAAATTTTATACTATACTTGATGTGACCAGAATCATGCAAACTCGTAGAGTTACTTAAAACCCAGCATGCTTCCTTCACAACTTTCACATCACTGTCCCAAAGCAAAGCGACAACATTTTCCATTAAATTTGGCTCATTTAATACAGCGTTTACCTAAAAGATGATAAAACAAAAATAAAAATAAATAAAATAACTTCACGTCAATTTCAATCAAAGAAACAATACGTTAGTGGAAATTTTTTCTTTTTTTAAAAATTGAACTAAATTCGTGTCAATTGAAAACAAATTACCTGACAATATGTGCCAGCAGCTACATTTGATACAGCAAGACATGCATCTCTCCTTAGCGTTAAATTTTTAGTCGATAAATATGACGTTGTTAAAACAGTTAATGCTCCGGCATCTATCACTGCCTGCGTTTGTTTTTCTAATATAATAACAGTAATTTAAGTAAGTTTTTTTTTTGTATATATTTATTACGCAAATATTAACTTACCTGCCCCTGATGCGATATTCACTAATGTTCGTAACACAGGCAAATGTACAGTGGATGTAAGACTATCCTCCCTAGAAATATAATTAAATTATTATTTGAAAAAAAAAGTAACAAATCAAAAAATTATGTAATGTCTAATATTAATTGTTACCTAAGAAGATCTACTAAGCGACGACATAATGAATTGTCACTTACTAAAGCATGTTCTCTATGCTTATGAGTGCCATTCAATATTCTAGACATTCCCCAACTTTTTAAATTATTGGTTCATCATTAGTTCATATAAGGGCAAATCCGTATAGTGACAATGAAAATACTTTAATATTTATCATAACTTACCAAGCATCAGAAATAATTTCCGCGTCATTAAGCTGTACCATATTAGCCAGAATAGGGAAAGCTGGTGTAATCTATTAATATTATACCAAACATAAATATATTAATTATTTGTTGAAATATATACGAAAAATCATTGTAAAAATTTACCAATGACCATGATGGATCTGAACAGCGACAACCACGACACATATTTGCAGTAGCCCAAACTGTGATTCTTACGGCCATGTAATCATATATTTCATAATTTGATAAAATATAAAGTAAAGGATCCAGTACACCTGCAGATAATATAATATGCCTAAATACAGCTCCATCTCCGGCAATATTGCCCAATGCCCATATGATCTTTAATATGAATTACAATTAATAGATATTTAAAATAATTGTTTTATAAAAAAAAAGACCACTACCTGAGTTTGAACTTCAATATTGTTGGAAATTGATAACACTTTAATAAGGTGTTGTGTTACACCACCTGCAACAAGAGCTTCAGTATGTTGTGTAGAGCCAGCCTACAAAGGACCTTACGAATTAATTACTAAATTATAACATAATATTGAAAGGACATAAATTTCATCAATAAAATAAAAAATCCTTACAGCTATATTGGTGATTATCCAGGCTGTTTCATACTGAATAAAAGAAAAAGTTAAATAATCTTGACGTAAAATAACTACCCGAATACTAATGTAAAAAAAGTTACCTGTAATAAATGATCATCGAAGTTTTCAAGCAATTCAATTAATAATGATATTATGTTCAATGAGAGGACATTATCGACTCTTTCATCAACATTCTCTATAATGGAAATAAAAGTAAATCAAATAAATTCGAATTAATCGATAAAAAGAGGGGATAAAGCTTCATACTCACGCAAAGATAAATATTTACGAAGTCTAACAACTGCAGCGAGTCGTAACACAGTATTGTTAGAATAAAGAGCAGATAAAATTTCCTGTGAGTATTGTGGTAGCTAACAACAAAGTAAAAGAGTTGTTTAAAAAATTTTGAACTTAATAGCGTAAAAAATTTGTAACTATTAGAACACGAACTAGTGTTGAAACTTCACAAACTGGTAAACCGTCGCTGCTCCCGAGAACTTCCGTAGCATCAGAATTCACTGTAAGATTCGCCAATTTACGGTTCAAAAATTCGATTATGTCCGAGTCTTCTTCGGCTGTATTTTTTTCTGTTTGAGAAGTCATTATTTAAAAACGCGTTAAAAAAAAAATAGAAGGTTGAATTTCTAAATTTTTTGTTTTATTTAATCTTTAACAAAAAAGTCTTCGTCGCCTTCTATTTATCACGCCAATGCATATTAATAAATTGTAAAATACGGTTTAACTGGGGTGTGATATAAATTAATTCTCAATCAGTTGTTCAAAAACGATACATTTTGCGTCTCGCACGGTGACGGTGGCTTAGCAAATCGGTATCTCTGTATCACTTACCCTAGTTATAAAGTTAAGGGCCCGTGAAAATGCTGATCAGCTGGCTTTTTAATTGCATGATAAAAAAATAGTATGACCGTGAAAATCAGCAATGCAAGGTAAAAGATAATGACATTGTATTTAGAAAAAAAAAATCATTTTTTTTTAATTAAAATTCCTTCAATTACTAATCGAAAACAAAAAAAAAGATGAGTTAATGGTCGCAATTATCAGCCACATTTTTTTTAGAATTTGCCTACTTCTAATAGAATTGATTGATTGTTCATATAGTTTAAAGTAACTGTCTAAGAGAGTGGAGTTATGAATAAGAACTCCAAAAATAGTCTTTGTCCTACTATACTAAAACTCTGGAATAATTCTCAATTCAAAGGTTAAAAAAAACCTTTCGTACCTGGTTTTAAATTTTAAACGTCAAATGTCTTTTTGGACCTTTAGATAGGAAAACCGAACTTTAAAGCTCCATTTATTTAGTGTTAAGGTTCGAATCACTAGTTTAAAGTATCGTTGCTTTGTTCCCATTCTACTAAATAAGCCAAATGAACATACCTCCAAAAATACAACCGCCTATTAACTTACCCAATACTACCTCAGCGACTCATAAACGTTTCAAACCTATAGAGACATGTGACAACTGTAAACAACGTAAGGTAAAATGTGACAAAGAAAGACCCGTATGTGGTACTTGCCGTAAGTCAAAACGAGATTGTACTTATGATTTCTCAGCGTCTTCTAAACGTGGTCGACCAAAGACTGAGGTTGAAATATTGGCAGAACAGATTGAAGACATTCAATCTGTACAGTTCCAACAGCTGGATCATATGGAATCACTCTTGGAAATGGCCGTTATGAAAAACGGGGGTACAGCAATTACGTCTTCAAATACAAATGACAATATGGGTGGTAATATGAATTTTGCTATACAAAACGGTGCAGTTGATGAAAACTTTATGGCTAGTGGAGTTTATGTAAGATTTCTTTGATTTATTTTTTTAACGAATGATTCTAAAATTATATTTACATAATTTCTTTCAATTTTAAGAATTGGAACAATTTTTACGAATCAAGTCCTCCACCTAGTCTTAATCAAAATTTATCTGAGGAAACATTACAGTTTTCGACTCAGTTAGCTGCTTCACTACCTAAACCTAAACAACCAGAGGTTTATATTTTTTATATCAGTAACTTTGTTATTTATTACGTTTGATATTATAATTAATTTTGTCATCAAAATTGTGACATACTAGACAGTTCCGGTTACAGATTCAATGTCATATACTGCGAATTTTGGCTTGCCTATTCAAGATCCCGTTGATCAACTTGCAGATAAATTCGATAATAGCTTGAAAATCTATGAGTCTACTCGATATGTTGGTACGGGTTCTTTACTAATGTTGAGTGATGGCGGCGAAGAACAGATTATTCCTCAATATCCCGATGATCTATCTTCCGTTGAATCATATTTGAAAGTTTTACCAAAACCTGAAAATGTAGAGAGTTTGATCGACATATATTATAAGGTGAACATTGTACAAGATTTTATAATAAAATTCATGTGTGATTTATTAAAATTATTGTCTTTTTAGAGAGTATATCGTCATTTTCCTCATCTGAAGAAAAAGGTGGTTCTCGATTGTATAAAAGATTTATCGAGGCCACAACATTTTCTTCTGTTAAATAGCATATTTTTTGCAGCTTCTCCTTTTCACCCAGATGTTAGTATGCGGGACGGACGTATATATCATCAGGTATGTAATTTATGAGCTTTTTTTGGACATAATTAATTTTAATTAAATTAACAAATTGCATAAATTTGGTTATAAATATTTCCTTAATTTAGAGAGCATTAGGTAATAATCTTCATAATTTTCGTTTAGAAATACATATATCATCTCATTTAATAAAAGTACCTTGTAATCTTTGTAACAGCACTGTTGCAAAATCACTGCCTTCAAACTCCCCATGTATTGACTGTTATTAGCTTATTTATAATTGGCCTTCATACAAGAAAGGTATTTAGGTTATATATTAATTTGATATTTACACATGACTGGTAACTTACTTATAAAGATCGTCTTTTTCCGAAGATGGGATCTGCATGGATCTTTCATGGGATGGCTTCTAAAATGACATTTGAATTGGGATTACATCGTAAAATCAAGAATCAACAAATTAAAATGAACGATGAAGTTAAAGAAATGAGAGATATGGCTTTCTGGGGATGTTTTATTGCTGAAACGTAAATATCCTAACTATATATATAAACAAAAAAAATCTAGTGATGTATAATAATTACATTTATATTTTTAGTTGGGTATCAGCATGTTATGGTCGTCCTAGTGCTATTGACGAAGCAACTTGTGATGTTGATCTTCTTCCAATACCGTCAGATCCCGAACCAGATGATGAAACACGGTTACACATTGCATGGGTTCTTCATATTAATTTATTACGTATTTTTGCACAGGTAAGAAACAATTTCTTAAGTTTGATTTTTATCTTGCAATAATGTTGAAAAACATAAATATGATTTAATTAGGTACGCAAGTACTTATATGGACGTGCAAAAATAGCCGGAAGTCGACGTGAAGAAAATCAATTTAGATTCCTAGATGCCGCATTGGGTAGATGGTTTTATACTCTACCCCACTGGTTAAAATTTGAAGAAATGGCTCAAGATGTACAAGGAAGCTTATTGGGTACAATTGGAGGTAAAATAAATTACGTATAATTTATTTAATTTATTTATTATTAATTATTAATCTTTTTTTCGCACTTTATTAAATAGGAGAAATGCATACTTTATTTTGGACAGTACTTATTCTTCTTCATAGTAGAAATTTAACTATGTTTACGGTAAATCCAACAAATTCGATGACATCAGATGATGCATCTCGTGCATCATCTCGAACTATTTGCATTCATGCAGCTACCATACTTCTTCATTGGCTTGACGTGTTAATGAATTCTGTACCGGAATTTTATGAGCAATCTTGTACAGCATTATTTTCCATTGCACCTGCCATACGTGTTTTAGCTTGGACGGCTCAAAGGGGAGATACTAAAGCTGAAAGTATGGTAGAAAGGCTAAAAGAAATTAAAAAGAATGTAAAAGATATTGCAAGAAGAAGATTTATGGCACAAGAAGGAAGGGAGGGCAGATTGGATGGAGAAGAAAAGTTGCAGGAATGGTTGGATAAAGCCAAAGAAGAGGAAGCTAAAAACACACAAGCACGAGCAGGAGAATACATGATGCTTAATCCAGATCAATATAGGAAAGAATTTTCATATATCGCAAATAAAGGCAAGAGACCTGTTAATAATCGTCAACGTAATAAAAATGATAATAAATCAACGTTGTGGACTGATGACAAGGACAATTTCCCTTTTACATTTACTATGGACACTTTTAACAATGGATTTCGTGATAGATCACAACCTTCTAATGATCCATCAATTGTGAACCAACAATATCAACAACAACCTTCTAATAACCCTTCAATGGCAAATATCTTATTTTCTACTCTTTCTCCGTCAAATACTTCAGCCTCAACATCACCAAATCCTACAGCATCACCCAATCCTCCAATTTTTGGTGGTCAAAATGTAATTATGAATAATAATATAACCCGACAACAACATACCAATACTTCAAATATATGGACACCTCAAGACAACGGTTCTGCTGGTATGCTAAATACATTCAATGGTGACATTGATGCAAAATTAGTTAATAATTATAATGATGGTAATAATATAATCAGTAATGGAGAATGGAGTTAAAATTTGCAGTTACATATTTATTTATTTAAAAATTTGGAATGATATAAAATTATTATTATTTATTTGAATATTTGTATGTAATTATTATTAAAGTATTATTTAACCCGGTTTAACTAAACATAAATAACGACTTAAAATTAATATTTGAGAATTATAATAAATTCTTTTAAGGAAAAGGACATTAAGCCATATTATAAATTAAATTAATTTATCTATTTACTTGTCTAATTTACATCTATTTAATATTTGACTTAAAAAAAGAAATATTATAATCATATTATTTTTCATTTTTTTCATTTTCATCATTCAATGTTGAATTTACAATACTCCATTCTCTAACTTTTTCAAAAACCCAGAAGTTTAAACTTCCTAATGGAACTATAATCCATAATCTTGCAGTTAATCCTACAAATAAACCTTTTATACCCTCAGTTCTTACAACTCTTGTAGCAACATTCAACCATCTTAATTCACCTTGTCCAGCTCTACGAGCAATTTGAATTTTTGTTTTCACTACATCGAAAGGAGCAGAAGTAATAGTTGCAGTAGCACCAGCCAAAACGCCTGCCATCACAGAAAGTAAAAAATGTGAAGAAGGTAAAAATGAAATATTATATTTATTTAGTCTTAATTGTTCCAATGTATAGGTATAAGTAAAAAAATATGCAGGAAAAAATGATATTGTATTAAGTAGTCCTGCGGTCCAGCCGCGATAAAGAAACCTATGAAGAGGTACATCTTTTGGTTTAAGATGAGTTATAAAATTCTTTGATAAAAGAATTTTACTTATATTAAATTGTTTATTAACATTTGAAGGAATTTGAGACGTATCATGTGTAGTTGTAACAACAAAAGTAGGTTGTTTCGTTGTTGAAGAAGTAGAAATTTGTCTTCTAAATAAAGCTGAATAATTAGTAATGTTATTTGTACTAGTATTTGTTGATAAATTTGCTTTTGAAACTTGAAGTTGTTGTGAAATAACATCAAAAGGTACCATAAAACTAGAAGTTGTTACAGCACTTAAAGTTCCTAAAAATGCATTTATTGTAGTCTGACTACAACTTTCTAACCATCCAAGCCCAAGGCTTTTTCCATTTCCTTTATGAACTCTATCTCTTAATGCATCATAAGTAGAAAAATGAACCAAACGTCCGCCGATACTACCTAACGCGTAAACACCCACACCTTTATATAAACCACGAACTCCTTCTATTTTTACCCTTTCGGTAACAACTTTAGAGAATGAAGTTGAAGAACTTGTACCAATATTTGATTGTTGAATAGTTTTAGCTGTTCTTATGGGATAAAATACATATATTGGCAATAAATTTATTATGAAACCATAGAAATAGTAACGTTTGAAATCTATAGCTTGATCCGGGCCTAATTGTTGGTGATTCATTCTTGCGAAAAAAATAAATTAACAGATTTACAGATTTAAATATTTGAATTAATTTGGTGCGATTTTTTCCGAAATCATGTGGGTCAAATGTTTACTAATTAAATATGCAGCTTGTCAATCACTTTTACTATGATCATAACCCAGATTTTGATGTCATTTATCGAATCAAATGGTGGTAATACTGACGGAGTTATAGCTCAACAAAATATTTAGATTAAAATTATCTTAATTTTAGATTTATATAATTATTTATGCAAGTTGTCAATATGTTAGATAATAAGGTGGAAACCTCAATGTCTCACTTAAATAGATTGATAAGTAATTAGGTCACATGACATTATGGTGCAGCGATAACACCTCCAGTAACACAAGCATCCTTAGGGATGTAGACTTTTAACCTAAACCGAGGTGTATTTATTTTAATTCATCTGTTTTAGCTCCATTTGCTATGTACACGCTTGGTTTAAATTTCATCTTGAAAGGTATGTCACTTTCTTTTTAATTTATTAATTTATTATTTTATTTTACAGTTTAAATATAAAATATACTGAAATATTTTTTATTGAAAACTTAGGATAAAAAGTAAAGTGTTAAGCTTAAAGATCCCAAAAGCTCTTGTTCATAATATATTTATAACAAATTTTATAAATGAAATAAAAATTGCAAGAATTATAAAAGTTATTTTAAATAAATATTTTTTTGCTTTTTTTTTAAAAAAACACTATAGTACAAGAATTTTTCATTATAAAATAAATACTGTATTTTTTCATGCAAAAAACATTGCAAAAATTTTTCTAATATAAATATTATATAAATGAAATTTGACTAATAAAATTCATCAAATTTTAATTGTACATTTTAGTTTAAGTAAAGGTCTACACAGTGTCTATATTCCTATCTTAGATTTCCATTAAAAAAGCTCAGGCATGTGAATTTTATGACTTAGATAATCTGACTTTTAATTTTGGCCCAAATCATAAAGCTTCTTTGACTATAACTTTATATTTTCTTATTATTTTGATATATCAAATATAGTATTATGAAGCTATTATAAATTATATATGAAAAAATGATTTATTCACATTATTAAACAAAATAAACAATATATTATATATATTTATAGTACAGTCAACTCTCTTTATAGTCACACATTTGGGACAGTCCATATTTGGTGATTATAAAGAGATGTGACTATATAAAAAATTTCTTATATTAGTATATCATAATTCAGGCCAAAAATTAAAATAATTTTAGCTAAAATTATACTCAAAACTTTATTGTATCGTAACTCCGCCAATATTAATCGTAGAGAGATGATCCTGTCTCTTATACACATCTAGATGTGTATAAGAGACAGCTGGTAAACCGTCGCTGCTCCCGAGAACTTCCGTAGCATCAGAATTCACTGTAAGATTCGCCAATTTACGGTTCAAAAATTCGATTATGTCCGAGTCTTCTTCGGCTGTATTTTTTTCTGTTTGAGAAGTCATTATTTAAAAACGCGTTAAAAAAAAAATAGAAGGTTGAATTTCTAAATTTTTTGTTTTATTTAATCTTTAACAAAAAAGTCTTCGTCGCCTTCTATTTATCACGCCAATGCATATTAATAAATTGTAAAATACGGTTTAACTGGGGTGTGATATAAATTAATTCTCAATCAGTTGTTCAAAAACGATACATTTTGCGTCTCGCACGGTGACGGTGGCTTAGCAAATCGGTATCTCTGTATCACTTACCCTAGTTATAAAGTTAAGGGCCCGTGAAAATGCTGATCAGCTGGCTTTTTAATTGCATGATAAAAAAATAGTATGACCGTGAAAATCAGCAATGCAAGGTAAAAGATAATGACATTGTATTTAGAAAAAAAAAATCATTTTTTTTTAATTAAAATTCCTTCAATTACTAATCGAAAACAAAAAAAAAGATGAGTTAATGGTCGCAATTATCAGCCACATTTTTTTTAGAATTTGCCTACTTCTAATAGAATTGATTGATTGTTCATATAGTTTAAAGTAACTGTCTAAGAGAGTGGAGTTATGAATAAGAACTCCAAAAATAGTCTTTGTCCTACTATACTAAAACTCTGGAATAATTCTCAATTCAAAGGTTAAAAAAAACCTTTCGTACCTGGTTTTAAATTTTAAACGTCAAATGTCTTTTTGGACCTTTAGATAGGAAAACCGAACTTTAAAGCTCCATTTATTTAGTGTTAAGGTTCGAATCACTAGTTTAAAGTATCGTTGCTTTGTTCCCATTCTACTAAATAAGCCAAATGAACATACCTCCAAAAATACAACCGCCTATTAACTTACCCAATACTACCTCAGCGACTCATAAACGTTTCAAACCTATAGAGACATGTGACAACTGTAAACAACGTAAGGTAAAATGTGACAAAGAAAGACCCGTATGTGGTACTTGCCGTAAGTCAAAACGAGATTGTACTTATGATTTCTCAGCGTCTTCTAAACGTGGTCGACCAAAGACTGAGGTTGAAATATTGGCAGAACAGATTGAAGACATTCAATCTGTACAGTTCCAACAGCTGGATCATATGGAATCACTNAATAATAAAGTGTTTTGAACATTCAACTGGTGTGACTATATAGTAGAATGTGACTATAACGGGAGTGACTATAGAGGGAGTTGACTGTATATATTTTTTTTATTTTTACTTCAAATCACCAGGGGTTATCATTACCGTTGGCCAGAATTATCAATTTTTACCGGCACTATATTTTTTTAATGCTGGTCGATCATCATAATTTCAGTCACCAGTGATCATCACCCCAGTGATAGTTAGAAAAATTCTTTTTTTTTTATTAAAATTTATAAAAATGTAATACAATTAATTCTATTATAATAACTTATTAAATTTTGGTAAAAATTAAGTTGCAAATAGTTTCATCAGAATTGATTTATTTTAATCAAAATACTTAAATTATGCTGTAAAATTAAAAAAAAATGCAATGTAGCTATTCTATTGCAAAAAATTTATAACTTTATAATAATTATGTATTTTTTCTAAAAAAATTTTCTAATTCTTAGGAATTTTATACAACCCTAAATTAATTTTTTTTACCTCTAAAAATCACTTTTTTTGAATTAAACTGTAGTTTGTACATAAAAATTTAATAAAGAAAATTACATCAAACAATTTTTTTATTTTATTATGCTTTAAATTATCAACAATACTAATTCAATAATTATATTATTATTTATAGGTTTTATAGTTTTTTTTTATAAAAAGATAGTATTGCTAATATTTTGCTACTTTACTTTCTTTCAATATTCAATATGTTACTTAATTTAAAAATAATAATAACTTTACAGAAACTTCAAGATCATAGCAATGGTTTAATGCGCAATAACTGTGTTATAAATACATAGTGACTACATTATGTAATCGTAAAGAAATTACATATATGCAGTTACTGCACATTAAGCCATCGTTATGATTTTGAAGTTTCTGTAAAAAAGCCACAGTTTTCATTCCAAAAAGTGTGATTTTTAGGGGTAATTTAAGATTATGTAAAATTCCTAAAAATTATAAATTTTTTTTAGGAAAAATACATAATTATACTTTATAAGTATCCATCAAAATTTAGTAGAAATCTATAGTATACAAGTAGGTTTAAATTTACTGAACAACTTTATTTAAACATTAAAAGTAATTTATTTTAATTAAAATACTGAAAATTACATTTTAAAATCTCTAATCTCTATACAAAAATTTTTTTTTTAAAAAAAATAAAAACAATACTAGGGTTTCGATCCTATTTTTTAAAGCAATCTGAATAGAATCCAGATCTTCTCTTGCGAATCTGGATTGAATCTGAATTCTAAATTTGACCTTAACTCTGACCAAAATTATAATTTTGACTGGAATTAATATTTAACGTCAAATATTAACTGTCTGCAAAATTTGTTAGCTCTGGCCAAATTTATAGTGCTGACTCAAATTAATAAAAATGGATTCATCTGTTACAAAAAAGTAAGATCTGGATATCCAAAAATTATACATGCCACCCAAATTATTTTGGACTGCCGTAATTATAAGTAAATCCCAAATTCAATTATGGCATCCCAAATTATTTTGGCACTTTACATAGTAAATTATATATAAACCGAATGAATTATGGCATCCCAAATTATAATTATGGCATCCCAAAATAATTTGGGCAGCATGTATACCAAAAATAAGGAAATTCAGATTTAAATCTGGATTGAACAAATCCAGATCGAAACCCTAAACAATACTATTAAAATAGAAAATAAAAAATATATATTTTTTATTAATTAAAATTAAGACATTATAAATTTTTTTTTATTATTTTAAATAATATAATTTATGTCAATTATAAAATTTTAATAAGTAAAAATGCAAAAGATTGAAAGTTAAAAAAAAGTATAAAAAAAATAAAAAAAAATATCTAATAATATATATTAATTATATAGAATCTTTGCAATAAAAAGGTATGAAACTCAAAAAAAAATTTGATTTTACTTTATATGCTAATTATATTTTTTTTACTGAAATAAATGCAAATTTAATATTAATTCAATTTTTGATATTTTTTGAGTTTTGTACCTTTCTATTGCAAAGACCTTATATAATATAAGACACTAAAATTATGTACTTAAACTTTTTTAATAGATACTAAGAAAAATATATAGTAATGATGAATTATGATACAATAATAAAAATTATATTTAATATAAAATGATAATAAAGTAATATAAATTACATAATTACATAATCAAAAAATATTACAAAAATAAAATTTCATTGTAAATAAATTAATATTGTTTAAAATAGATCTTATTAAAGCTAACTTTTAATATATGATGAAATGTGTAGTTAAAAATTAATTGCTGATAATTTGCCGATTTGCCATTTAACAATATAAAATAATTGGCAATTTATAATTAATCTTGTCAGACATTTTAAATGGTGTTTACACAAGTTTGAAAATGTTTTATTGTAATATAAATGTTCTAAAAAT